CCGGAGAACATCGGCGTCGTTCATGCCGCTCCTCCGGGACCGGGAGCATTCCTCGTATACTCCCATAAACTTTCGTACTTTTTTGTTGATGTGGCTCCATTTGGAAGTGAGTTGGTCACGGGTTCGGTAGGAGCCGTCCTTCTTCATCGCCGTGAAGAACTTCTCCTCGATACGATCCCACATCGCATCCTTCGTTTGCTCCGTACCTTTAAAAAAGTATTACACCATTAAATATAATATATATATAAATAAAAATATAAATATATTAGAAAAAACAAATTTTTTACCAATGATAGGATGCTCGGAGACGTCAACCCAAGCCGACGCCAATATGCACTCCTCCTCCGGCGTCCACTTTTGGATTGACCGTGCCGCATCGGTCAACGTGCTTTTGGCTTTGTGGCTCCTCCGGCGTGTACTTTTTTTCGATCCGGGCGGTTCCGGTTGAGTCTCCGGAACCGAATCTCGGTCGACGTACTACGATTGTTGCGTCTCGTATATCGGCGGTCGATCGCCCCACTCTTGGTAGAACCACATCGCGGCGTCACTCGGGGGGAGATTGTCGGGAACGAAGCCGGAGCCGGAAGGATTCATGTTGAAAATTGGGAGGAGGGATTTGAATTTTAAAATTTAAAAATAAGAAAGAAGAAGAGATTGGAGAGAAGGTGTGAGAGATTGGTTGGGGAGGGTTGAATTTATAGGAAAAAAAAAATTAAAAAAATTGGGGTGCAACGGCTTTTTTAGCCGTTAGGAGGGAGCAGCGCCGAACTCACGCCGCGTCAAAGGAATGACGCAGCCGCCCTCACGCCTGTTTCACGCCGGCGGGGGGCGGTGTTTCACGCCCCCGGGGCGTTAAACGCCCCGTAACGCCGGTGGGCGTGAGGGGTATTACCAGTGCTCTCACTACTACCCCTCCATAATTTTCCAACAATTTCAAAGTAATCAACGTAATTTGTACCAATATACTCCCTCTGTCCTGAGTGTTTGTTCACTTTCATTTTTGCACACCATTCAATGCACTTCTTTAACCCATTTTATCTTGTAATTTGTACATGAAAAAATTATAAAAATTATATATTAATAATCTATATGTTAAGACGAATCAAACAAGATCACACATGACTATTTTTAGGCTTACACATTGAGAGAATTTGATAAGTCAAAGTGCTTAGATGAACAGTTCCAAAAATCAAAAGTGGACAAACACTCAGGGACGGACCAAGTAAAACGTAGACGTCAACTGTGTTGTCAATTCAAAAACATTATTAATTACGCGAATGCGTTTTCAGTTTTTTAAGGCCACGTGTCGCTTCTTTTCCTTTGCTCTTCCTTGTCCACCCTTTTCACATGACCTAGGCTTCGTTTGGTAACAACGTTTTCGATTAGCGTTAGCGTTTTGGATAAAATTTTAATGGTGTAGATTAAATCTGAAAACGCTAACGCTAAAGGCTACCGTCGGATAGCTTTATCAAAACGCTAACGCTAATCTCTAACGCTAATGCCAAACAAGGTCCTAATCTTCTAATTCTCTCCATAATTAAATCTTTGGATGATGCTAGGGGTACACCAAATGTTCCTCACCCTTTCATAACCATTCATTTTTATTTCATTTTTATTTATTTATTTTTTTGAATTTTCTTACCTTTTTTGTTGACAAGGAGGGAGTAGGAGAAATTTGGGGTACGTCTTTGGTGTACCCCTAACATTTTCCTTAAACCTTTATACCCTCCCCTATATTCACCATCCGTATTAAATAATGTGTTCCTAAGTGATGGATGGAATTTAAAAATATTGTGGCTATCAAACTTTGAAATGAGGCCTTGTGGACAAATAATTTTACAAAGGCAGTCAGACAAGACTTTGGATCCAATGGGCTTAAGCTAAGCTAGACATATTATTTTGCATAGCTTTTTTCAAGAAAATGTTTCATTTTAAAATTGCGGTTTTGTGAATTGTGAATGTCCTCAAAATGGTTGTTAGTAATATTTCTCATAAGGCCTACTTTGTATAACTTGTCTTGAGAGGAATCATTTTTCATAAATTTGGTTACAAAAGATCTTTTGATGAAATGTTACCTAAGAGAGTCAGTTCGAAAGTATTCTCCGAAGATTGTTCTCTTCAAAAGAGATACACAGTATATATTTCTATATATTTCTTCTTTTTTATAACTAAATTTTCAATTTTTTTTCTTCTCATTTTTTAAAAGCAATATAGGATTTATTTCAAACGGACAAGAATTTTAGTAGAAGTTAATAACGGGTTCTTGTTCAACGATATTATAAATTTCATCAATTCAATTGAATTGTATTCCCAAAGAACATGGGGTTCAATTCCATAAAATTGAATTCACCAATTTCAATTCATTTTTTGCACTATCAATTCCAAATTTACACAATATTTGTGCTACCAAACACAAGAATTGGTATTGAAATCCTCAATTCCAATTCCATAATTTGAATTACATGTACCAAACGGGGACTAACAGGTTTCTTTTACTTTTTCCTTCATTTTTGCTCTCTTTTCACACGCCAAAACCCTCCAATTAAATCTTTCTGTTCTATATTCACCATCTCTACCCAAACATATTACTCCTTATTACTATTTGTGGGGGTGGGGGGGGGGGGGTGGGGATTGACAATTGGATATGATATAATTTGTCCGAATTACTCCCTTTGTTTTGTGAAAAGGTCCACTGAAGCCCAAATTTTGACAATAGAAGCACAACTCGTGGCTAATTTAATCAAGAACTTAAGTCCACTGAAGTGTTCCCCTAATCAATTTTCTAGTTCCCTTCTAAAGAAAAAACACTCTGCTTCACATAAACTTTCTCTCTACTTGTACAAATTTAGACAGCACAATTTGATTTTTTTTAATTCTTATGAAAAGTGAAAACAAGAACATTATTTAGAGACAAAAAGAATATTAAAATAAAATGAAAAATAATATGGAGTACTTTATTTCCAAGGATGACATAAAAAGTAGCACCACCGACGATAATCACATACATAAAGGTTGAACACTCACCCCACACGCCCCTCACCCCAGGCACAACAAGATTGTAAGTGGGATAGATCATGGTATAATTTTTGTTTAGAAAGATCACCATGGGCCCGGTGCGTACAAAGAGCTATTTAAAAAGAATAATACTCCAGTACTTTGTTGTCATGATTCAAACCTAGATCTTTGGGCATGACTTCTACCCTTAAGACCAACTAAGCTACCCATGCAAGCAAGAATCACATACATAAAATTATTGTTTGTGGTTCATAAAACCATGACAATATCAATTTTAGTGTTCCATTATATGATTGTAGCATAATCCAAACAAAAGCCTCCCACATTTCATCTTCAACGTTCCCTTTCAGCTTCTCCCTCCATCCCAACATTGAGTAAGTCACCTTTTTCCTTCTCTTCTCTGCACACATGGAAGTAAGAACGCGAAGTTTTATCAATGTGCTTCGCTCCCTGCTAATGAGATTGTGCATGTGCCCAACGCGTGATTTTAGTCTTTCCTCGATATCGGGAGAGTGGATTGATTCACCTCCAGTGTAAACTTATCTTTCACTTTAATTTAAGTATCGGAACAAATTTATTTTCTTAAAAAAACAAGGGAAAGATAGATCATTTTAATTAAAATATTTTAAATTTTCTTTTCTTAAAACAATAAAGGAATGATAGATCATTCATTACATACACTATAGGTGTTTCTCTCTGTTTATAAGTTGTTTTTAACTTATTAGTAAGCTAATGACATTTTTCTGTATACTTATATAAGCTCCTTATAAAACAGAACAAATAAATACTACCTCCGTCTCAGTGTAATTGTCCAGACTTTTTCAAATCAAACTGGACAAACCTTGAACTCCAATTATTCTTAATTTGTATTGCATATTAGCATAATGAAATACAATTTTGAAAATTCTCAATACGATAAATCCAATAAAGTCATTTTTATATTAAAATACATTAGAATTTTTATTTAACTGGAGCTCAAAGTTTGTCCAGTTTGACTAAAAAATGTCAAACTGGCCAAATACACTATGACGGAGGGAGTTGATCTTAATTACAAATTTTTAAGTTAGTTTATGTTTTTTCATTTTGATCAAATTATTTGCAAAACTGTCTCTCACTATTTATAAATATTTCCAAAGAACTTATTTACTCGTACAGAGTATTATTTAAGACATTTTACTTCCATGACAAAATACTTAACATATAAATAACTTACGGAGTATAAGGGCCTGTTTGGGAATAGCGTTAGCATTTTGGATAGAATTTTAACGGTGCAGATTACTTTGAAAACGCTAAGGCTAAACGCTGCACGTAGATAGCCTTTTCAAAATGCTAACGCTAATAGCTAACGTTATGCCCTAAGTTAGAAAAACTTTTATCAACCATAAACAAGAAATAGAGAGAGACACCCATATGGGAAGATGTGTATTTTTACCTTTGAGTAGAGAAGGATAGAGGTGTGGATTGTGGGCGCAATGACATCTTGGCAATCTCTGAGACGGCTGCGTCCCTGACGACGGCTGAATCGGCGGTCAAATCCTCGTACGCCGCCTCAAACGCATGCTGCCAGAATTTGGGCAGCCCGACGGTGCTCCGCCGGTGGGTGTACACATCCCACATCTGTCTCACTACCTTCTCCCTCTTCTCCATTTCCTGGATCATCACCGCATACACTTAACCATTGAATTCCATTCACTCAATTGGAGATCGAAATTTGAATCCAAACAAACTAAAAATCGAAATAAGGAACTCAATAAAGTGCACAATAACAGTACCAGAACATCGAGATCATCTTGGAACGCGGCGGCGGAGGCGGAGGAAGACGAATTAGAAATCCGACTGAGAGTGAGAGTTAGAGATCCGGCGGCGAACATTGACCAAAAGGCAAGAAGTAGAATGGCGGAAATCACCCATAGCTTCCAGTATTTCCCTTTACAAAACGCCCCATCGGAGCCCTTGGAAGTTCTGGCGGCCAGATTGAGTGGATTAGCTTGGGACTCTTCGTCGGATTTCATGGCGCTTTGGGGGTAATTGTGCTGCACCGCGATGAAGGCCTGTTTGGCGATTTGGATTTCTTAGAGAGAAAAAAGGAAGGTTGAATTGTTTGGGTTTTTCACTCTCATTGTTGACCGGCCAGTAAGGCCACCGACGGCGTCGTGGGGCAGCCGCGGGCCGAGTGGGGGCCACTAGGAAAGCTATTTAGAGTAGGGGTATTTGAGGGAGAATATTCTGAAAATAAGTCACACCCTAGTAATATTTGGATAAAAAGAGAATTTCGAAGGAGAGAAAATAGGTAGAAAGAAAATAGAGAGAAGAGAAAATGGAGAGAAAATATAAAGAAAGTGAATGTTGTTTGGATGAATAAAAATGAAGAGAAAAAGTAAGAGGAGAGAAAATGTAATAAAGCAAAAAGATATTTTTACCCTTATTATAACTTTTCCCAATGGAATACAATGAAGGACAAAAATGTTACTCCCTCCGTTCTAATTCTTTTTTTTCAGTTTGATTTTTCCCCATTTTTAATTTTTGTCTTTGATTTCAAATTTTACCTTTTTAAAAAAGATGTTTTGAATTTTTTTTACAATCATTCAAAATATAGAGTTAGAAGATAATTGGTGTAAATACATGAGGGTATTAATGTCATTTGTCATCTTTTTTTTAATGGGAAAGTAGTTTTAGGACGGAGAAAAAGGGGAAATGCGAAGAAAGTTTTAAGACAGAGGAAGTATTTGTTGAGTTTTCTCTCCCGGAGAAGATTTTCTCACCTCTTGAGGGAGTATTTGTTGAGTTTTCTCTCCCGTAGAAGATTTTTTCACCTCATCCAAACGCAAGCTAAGTTTTGTCTAAATAAATCACATATCATTTCCTTATTTTCAAATACAATAGAGAACTTTATATTTTGTTCTAATGATTAGGTGAGACATTCCGTTAAATACTCTATACATAAACATTAATGAATGTTTTTTCCTATTTTGCCTTTAATAGTTTATGATAATAACTCTTAGATCCTTCATTTTTGGTTTCTTGGTATTTTTTGTTACGCTTTGTTTAAAACTCTTTTTGATCTCTTCTTTTAAATTGCATAAAAAATTCAAAACTGTTTTTTGATATAAATATAAATAAAATAAGAAATTTTCTTCAAAAAACAAATTGAAATATTTTTAAAAAAATAAAGCAAATTTTTTTAGAGTATTTAACATAAAAAAGAGATCTAGTAAAAAAAATGGGAAACTGTTTTCATTTATTCATATATCATAGGGGTGAGCAAGGACCGAACCAATCCCGATATTCCCGAAAAAACCGAAAATACCGAACCGAAAAATACCAAACCGATAAAGTACCAAAAAGAAACCGAACTGTACCGAACTGAACGGTCGGTCCGGTATTTGGGAACAGTACGAAGTTACTTCCCATACCGAAATTCCCAAACCGAACATATATACTACTTCCTCCATCCCTCATAGATCTTCTCAATAGCCCTTTTTCTTTGTCCACAATAGATCTTCTCATTACCTTTTTTAACAATTAAAATACCACAACTTCCCCCACTTACTTTATTTATTACACCTCACCAACCTCATTTAATATTAACTCCACCCATTTTCATTAAGGTTATTATAGTAAACTTTCACCTTTTTTCAACTCTCCTTAAAAACCACAAAAAGTCAAAATGAGAAAATCTTAGGGGGACGGAGGGAGTAATATATTATAAAATAATACCTCCTCTGTCCCTCTGTATTTGTCCACATTTGACTTTTGGAACTATTCATCTAAGCACTTTGATTCATCAAATTCTCTAAATGTGTAAGCCTAAATATAGTCATGTGTGATCTTGTTTGATTTGTCTTAACATATAGATTATTAATTTATAATTTTTATAATTTTTTAATATACAAATTACAAGATAAAATGGATTAAAGAAGTGCATTGAATGGTGTGTAAAAATGAAAGTGAACAAATACAGGGGGACAGAAGGAGTAATCTTTTTATATTTCGTCATTAAATAAAAAATTTATATAGACATGTTAGTTTATTTTCACTAGTATCACACCCGTGCGTTGCACGAGTCATAGTTACGGTACTAACTTAAGATCATTTTTAGGAATATAAATTGGTATATAATGGAATATAGAGATTTCATTATTTTAAAGTACAAAAGTAAAAAGATTTACAAATTTCGAAAGACTTCTTTATAAACTACATCACTCGTATGTATAATTTGTGTGAGCATTCACTTCGTTGTATATCAGAATCTTTAAGTCATTGCGATTTATTACTCTTTAAACTGCAATATACACTTTCTCATGACTAAATATCAGTTTCCGTAACAATAATTCAATATGTTTCAGATATTGTTTTTTATAATAATTCAATAATTTGACTTATCTAAGTAATAATTCAACATATTAATGTATTTATTTTGGAATTTGTATTTATTAATTTTATTTTTGTATTTAAGTAGTACCATTAACTTACCCTATGGTGTTTATTTTCTATTTTATTTTAGATCACTTACCATTTTTACACGTATCCATGCTTGTAAATTATAGTATTCATAGTATTTATTTTAGAATACTTATACCATTGTTACATGTTTCCATGCGTACAGTATTAATAGTATTAATTTATAATTTTTTTAATTTTTACATTTAAATGGTACCATATGCTTAATGTACCACATTTATTTTTTAATTTATTTTATAACACTTACCATTTTTACACATTACCATGCCTGTAAATTATAGTATTAATTGATAGTATTATTTTTTAGTTTTCTATTTTATTTTTTTATTTAAATGGTATCATTTACTTACCGTATCGTATTTATTTTCTAATATATTTTAGAATACTTATCGTTTTAATAATTATTTTATTTTCTAATTTATTTAGAACACTTACCTAATTTATTTTAGAACACTTACCATTTATTTTATTTTGTGTTTAAATGGTACCATTTGCTTATCGTGGTGACATACCGTTTCGTATTTATTTTCTAATTTTCTAATTTGAACACTTACATTTTTTTTAAAAAATCATGTTTTTAAAGTATAGTATTAATATTAATTTTGCAGTTTTTTTTATTTCCGTATTTAAATCGTACTAATTACTTACCAAACCACATTATTTTCTAATTAATTTTAGAACACTTATCATTTTTAGATGTATTCTCTCTGTCTCTAAATAGATTACAATTTTGTTCTCTCCTCTCAATAACTTTTGTTTGTTTACGCGATTTCATTAAGTATTTGATAAAATAAAATATTCTTATCACTTCTTGTTTTGTAGAACTTTTGACGTAGTTGTTTAATATGTAATTTTTATATCTTATTCATATATCAATTTGTAAATAAAATGATTTCAAAAAGTAAAAAAATTTTACTCCGTAACCCGCAATTTATAATCAAATTGGGGACGGAGGGAGTATTTTATTTTTCTCTTTTATTTTAGAACACTGACCTAATTTATTTTAGAAAACTTACCATTTATTTTATTTTCGTTTTTAAATGGTGCTAATTGTTTACCATACCATATCTATTTATTTTCTAATTAGAACATTTGTCATTTTTAAAACGTTTCCATTTTTTTAAATTATAGTATTAATATTAGTTTGTAGTTTTTTATTTTATTCTTTTATTTAAATGTTATCATCTACTTACCGTACCATATTTATTTTCTAATCTATTTTAGAAAAAAACTTACCATTTTTACGCGTTTGTGCTTGTAAATTATAATATTTTTTAATGATAAATAATTAATTTGTAGTTTGTTTGAAATAAATCATTTTAATCCTGCCCATACTTTATTAATTTGTAATTTTTAAATTTTATTTTAATATTTAAATGACAGTGTATTTTATTTCCATACTTCAATTCCCCAATGATTCACTACTATTTAATTAAATGTTTAAATTGTGTAACATTTAAATAAAAATAAAAATGAAAACATACTTAAAATGGAAGGAAAACATTAAGGTAAAATAATTAAACTACCATTTATGTTGTCAACACTTTCCATATATGAGTGTCATACATGGGCGAAAAAAAATTCATGCCTTTTTAAATAATGTATAGATTATGTTTAAGTTGCACTTTAATAAGAGTTTATTTTTTGTAGATGAGTATAAAAATATTAACAAATATTTGAAATAATACTTTGTTATCACTCGTTTTCTTTAGTTTGTGAAATATAAACTAACTTTCATAAGCATTTCTTGCATTTTATTTTTTCATTTTTAATTTTTTTTATCTTTATTTGGTTAAATGTACATTCAATTTTTCAAAAATAAAATTTTTTGTTACATTTTATGTTGTAAACTAGGTATGTATATATTCATCCCGATTCATACCAAAACCGATACTAACCCATACTGAACCGATGTTTCGGGATCGGAATCGGTACAACGTAAAATCCCATACCGAACCAAAATATTTGGTACGGTAACAATACAAGCTAAATACCGTACCATACCGTACCACGCTCACCCCTATTATATCATACCAAAAAAATGAATTTTTGAAACTGTTTTCTAGAAGACCTCTTAAAAAAAAAGAAATGATAAAGTCACAAACATTTTGATCACAAAATACACAATCTTGCTATTTGTGTACCTCAACAAGTAAATTAAATAATGTTAAATAATTAAAAAGTAAACATTTAAATACACAAATGGTAAGATTATGTATTTTGTGATCAAGATGTTTGTGACTAGCACTTTTTTAAAAAAATTTATAAAAAGGAAATAAAGTGAAAAAAAATAGAAAAAAAATGGGAAACAAAGAAACTAGTGAAAGACCACATCCAATCTTGATAACCACCATATTGACGAAGAGGAAGATCAGTTGAAAGAAGAAACGTATTGCACAATTTTGTGAAAGACCAAGTGATGTATAATCAAAGAAAAAGACTGTTGGCATAGGTTGACGGATCGGAGACGGATGGGACACTCTCGTATGGGACTACCCATGGGTCTGGGACAAGGACATGCCTTACATCACATCACCTAAACCACCTTTCTGCCCAAACTTCAAGGTTTCTTATCTTATTGATCAGGAGACCGGCTCATGAAAAATGGATGTGGTACGAGAGTGGTTCTCGGAACAAGACGTTGTTCGTATCCATCGTACTCCGTTGTCTCTCTCCCGCAAAGACTGCTGGTTTTGGGTGGCGGAAACACATGGAGTTTACACTGTGAAAAGCGCTTATAGGAAGCTGTGCGGAGAAGCATCTCAGGTTGGCATTTTTGACCGATGGGGACGACTTTGGGGGCTGCCGATTTTGCCTAAAATTCAGAACTGTGTTTGGAGATGTTTAAGGGGTATCTTACCCACGACATTAGCACTTGGAACCAAGGGAGTTGACATTGATCTAAACTGCCGCATTTGTGGTGCATCAGAAGAGTCATTAGAGCATGTTTTTCTATTTTGTCCTTTTGCTCTAACAATTTGGAGGCTCCTTGGAAGCAAAATAGCTACAGGTTTGCATAATAATTTTACTGCTTGCTTATTGTTTGCTTTCAGCTCGATGTCAACTTCTGAATTGGCAGTATTGGCTGCGGGCATATGGGCAATCTGGAAGGCCCGTAATCATGCTTGCTGGGAATTAAAGGTAGTTAAACCTGAGATCGTGGCGGAATGGGCACGTGAGATATGCATGGCTAGGACAGGTAGTATGTTGCAGGGTGACACGGTGTCGACGTCGACGCACCAAGGGCCACATCAGTTTAGTCGGCCAGAAATAACACGCTGCTTCGTTGATGCGGCCGTGTTTGATCAAAATAATTCTACATCAGTGGCGGCCGCTCTGCTTGATGGCACCGGCAGGTTCGTTGGGGGCTTCAACAAATTGGTTTCATGTCCCTTGGTGCCGAGATACGTGGAAACAGTGGCTATTAAGGAGGCGCTCTCATGGCTCAAGGAGAAAAATATCCAAAAAGTCTCTATTTTTTCATACTGTGCTCAAGCGGTTCAAGCCTTGAAGAATGGCGTGTCAGGTGCTCAGTCGTATCTGAGTGCGTTGGAAGACGAATGCAAGAATCTTACATATTGTTTTCGTTTTGTTAATTTTTGTCATATCCCTAGACTGTCAAATATGATTGCACACACCCTTGCTAGATTGGCAATTAACGGGTGCCATGAATGGTGGAACGATCCCCCGCATGATGTACTACAATTTCTTTAGTTAATGAAAAGTTTGAGTTTCAAAAAAAAGACTGTTGAAGAACTCACTGCTCGGATCTGTAGAAGAAATCTCAAAAGAAAACTGTGATGATGAGTGAATGTGAGAAGAAGAACAAGATCGGAGAAAAGAGAAAATTGAGAGGATGAGAGGAAAGAAATTTTAAGAAAGGATTGGGAGTGCCAGAGAAGCCATTGTTGTCCATGATTTCTCCCATTGAGGGCGTATATGGCATTTACCATATAGCTATTTAAGTTAAAGCTTGTCTTTGACAAGTTTTACAAGAGATTCTCCTGACCATCCCAGCCCTCCTCCAGTCAAAGAGAGAGTAGAGGTGGGAAACCATTATCCTTTAATTGGAGATCATGGAAAAACATTAGATTCCATGTTACTTCCTCCATCCTGATATATTCATCCATTTTTTACTTTTAGAACTGTTCATCTAAGCACTTTGACTCATCAAATTCTCTCAATGTGTAAGCCTAAATATAGTCATGTGTAATCTTGTTTGATTTGTCTTAACATATAGATTATTAATACTCCTTCCGTCCCACTATATTCGTCCACTTTTGACTTTTAGAACTGTTCATTTAAACACTTTGACTCATCAAATTCTCTCAATGTGTAAGCTTAAATATAGTCATGCGTGACCTTGTTTGATTTGTCTAAACATATAGATTCTTAATATATAATTTCTATAATTTTTTAATATACAAATTAAAAGATAAAATAGATTAAAAAAGTGTATTAGATGGTGAGCAAAAATGAAAGTGGACAAATATAATGGGACAGAGGAAGTATACAATTTCTATAATTTTTTAATATACAAATTACAAGATAAAATGGATTAGAGAAATGTATTGGATAGTGTGCAAAAATAAAAGTAGACAAATATAGTGGGACGAAAAGAGTATTACATTGTTTCAAGGTTTGGCTTCCATATATCTTATAATCTGGAACTTGAATGGGTGAAATAAGGAGTAAATTTCATCAATGATACTTGAACTTTAGCTAAAATTTCGAAGTGATACCTCAACTTCACATCCTTTCACAAAAATCCCTGAACTTACACAATCTTTTCCGACCCGCCGGATTTAGCCGGAAAACACTCTGACTCGCCAGAAAGGATTGTGTAAGTTCAGGGATTTTTGTGAAAGAATTTGAAAATGAGTACCACTTCGAAATTCCAGCTAAAATTCAAGTACCATTGATGAAATTTACCCGTCAAAATAAGGCATTTGGGTTTTTATGAATAGCACGAATCACCCACCACCTAGTGCAGCAAATGGCAATGAAGTGGAACTGTGTTCCCTGCAAAGATCCAGTACTAATTACCAACTGTGCAATGGTAATTTCCGAGCTACTGCAATTGGCAATAAGATCTGTGAGACAAATCTATTATTAGAAAAGGTGTTGGAATGCAAGGAAGCTCTATTGTGGATAAAATGTGAAAGTTTTTCGTCTCTTGTAATATTCACAAACAAAACGCAATTTAATTTGCTTCATCATCAAATTGATCTCATCTTGGACTTTCATGTTGGAATTTCAAAATATTTCATTGAAGTTAATTACCTTATCTTACATACCAATGATGTCCCCTGCCTCTTTAGAACAAAAATAATAATTTCTTTTGTTAAAATAATAGCTTTTTGAAAGCAAATATATTATTAGGAACAAAAAGCTATTTGAAAGCTGTTTATATAAACCGTAAAACCTTGGAATAAATTGAGAACACAATTGTTCTATTATACACCAATTCGACATCGGAACCTTACATGGGGTAAAAAGAATGGGTGACACTCAAATAATTTAGGCTGATTTGAGAAGAAATAGAAAATCAAGAAAAAATTTCCCGATTAAAAGAATACCAAAAACAGAAAAATTCCAAGGAAGTCAATCCAAATGGAAAAAATCAAAAGCTCAGAATTTTGCAATGCATCCGATCATGTTCTTGAATCACAAGTCCAGACATAAATTTTGCAAATTCATCACTGCAAATTGGACCTCAAACCATTCAAGAAACAGATTTCCAAAGCTTCATACCAGAGATATATAAACTTTGAAATAAAGTGGAAATCAACTCAAACAATGTGAAAATCCTCTCAGAAAAGCTTTCGCATAGAAAGTATGTTCAGACAATCAACACGGCATCAGTTTCTGACCGCCCGTCTGGTTTATCACATCACTGAGAATTCACAGAAAAATATCGATCCATAAAGAAATCCCCATCAAAACTGAAACTATTTTAAACTTGATTTGTATGAAAATTAATGTAAAATTGAAAATAGATGTGTGAATTGGAAATCTATATCAAGAGTTCAACAAACCCAAAATAATCGAAATCAGACAGAAAAGGATTAAAATTTGACCTTATTTTCTGTACAAAGATGAATAAAATGGCATCAGATATTAAGCGGAGTAGATAGTCAACACGATTTATGATCAGTGATTAGCATATCAAGAATCGTCATTGCCATAACATGATATAATAACAGAAAAACATAAAAAACCGTATAAAAAATATCAGACGGTTCATTTGACACCATCGCAATGGAGAAAAAAACACAATGGGTTGGTAAGCCATCCTTTGATTCAATTGATTTCTGCATCGTTTCTATCTCCATTAACGAATTTCGGCTTCGCTATGGAGATGGTAAATCCGATGCAATCTCTGAAAACGCAAGTGATCGGAAAATACAAACCGACTAATGTTTAGCCGCGGCGAAAGAAATTGACGAAGAGAATGCGTGAGAAGACTGCTCCTCATGAGGCTTTCTTTCCATTATTTAAAGAGAGACGTAAAAAAACCCTAGTCTGCAAATGATCCGAAACCGAACGCAGGCCCATATCTGCCAAACCATTGTCCAGATTGGTTTATTGAACCCATACCAGCTTTAGGCTCAATTCATTTTAAGATCCACCATCCTACAGGCTACAATTAGTCAAAATAAAGTTAAACTAAAGATATACATTAATATTTTAATAGTTCACATTGATGCAAAATATAGTACGATAAAAAAACTACACTAACATCTTTGCTTGTGTGAACCATCACACTAGTATCACACTGACACAAAATAAATGTGCATACCTATGTTCAACAATTTCGAGTACAAATCATTTTAAAATATCAAAAAATAAAAAAATATCACAATTTTGAACAACACATCATCATTATTAACACGGTCAAACTTTATTTAACTTTTTTTTGTTTTCGTTAGTGATTGGATGAAATTATAGACTATAGAGTACTAATTTTAGCTCTGCTTTTATAAAACTTTTGATATGGTTTTATACTATAAATTTTATTTTAAAATTTTGACACTTATAATTAATTAAATTGAATAAAAATTAACTTCAATCAAACTTCATAAACATAAACGTGAAAAAAGTTTTGTAACTTAAGGAGTGAGATTTCATTGTGGTTTTTAAAATATACTCTCTTCGTCTACAAATAATCTTTTTCTTCATTATTCACAATGTCAAAGTTTATTACTTTGTTGGTCTATTTTCGATGAGTATTTGAAAAAATAATATAATCATGTTACTTATAATTTTGCATATGTTTTGATGTAGTTTTTAAATATGTATTTTTACTTTTTAATTCCTCACCATTTTTCATCTAGAACGATTTAAAAATAATTTCATTCAAACATCGTAACGCGCAAATGCAAAGATTATTGTTGGACAGAGGGGGTATATTTTTTAGATTACGCATTATTAGGTTGAAAAACGTATGAACTGATGATACATTGTAATGCAGTTTATAACAATTAAAAAAATAAACCAACCTCTTTAATTCAAATGTATAATAAAGAGCATGAAATAAAATAAGAGGTGAAGATAGCATCTTATTTATAATTAATATGTTTCATTGTAAACAAAGAGAGAAATATAGAATTAGAAAATAATATTCTTACAAAAATGAAGATTTTTCTTTCAATATTAAAGTTATTGATTGATTTCCAAGGTGTGCTTCCATAATTCTAAAGTCCACTGTGAAATTTGGGTCTTTTTACACTTTTCATAAACTAACATAAAGCATTTTTTAAAGCCTAATTCATCTCTAACATTTATCTACTAAGGTCTATAAAATAAATGTAGAATTTAAGATCACAAAAGCTATGCCATATCTCAACTCCATAAATATTGGAGTCTCATTTATAGATATACACGATTAATATCAAGTTTCTATAAAATGAGAATTGAATAGACTGTTAGCAATTTACTAATTTCGCAACACAAAAATGTGTTGACCACTTTTTTCATTACTGAGGAAATTAGAAAAGGATAAAAGTTAGTAGTGATAGACACACCCGCTAAAATATTTAAGTGTTAAAAAGTCACTTGATTAAATGATCATCCAAATAAATATGTAAGAAAAATATAATTTTAGATAAAGAAATGATTCACCATTGTCCGTGTTTGAGGTGATATATACTCCGTAATAAATTTGAATATATAATATTATTTTATATTAATCATATTTAAATACTTTTTTAAACTATTATTGTAAAAAACAATAAAGAGTCAGAAGAAATTTAAAGAAATTAATAAAATCAAATAATTAATTTTTCTAACCGAAAATCTAATTGACAATTTGGATACTCACCCGGCAGTAGACCTGGAAAAAAATGACCCGACATGTTTTTGACCCGAAACCCGACCTGAAAACACTGGGTTTTGAACAAAGGTTTTGATGACCGAACTCGAAGTTGACCGAACCCGAAATGATTCGTTAAAAATGGGTCAAATCCGACCGAACCCGAACCCGACCTGACCGACCCGCTAAAGTAAGAATTTTTCAAAAGCATACACTTTACTACTCATTTTTAGTGTATAAATTTATATTTTTCGATAAAATTTTAATGATATTGCATAATTATCTTACTTTTTCCAAAACTTAAGCATTTTTAAAATTCCGTATATTGATTTATATATCTAAAAATCATTTCAGAATTTAAAATAAAATAATCTAATTGATTTATTACTTTTTTTTTGATATTTTAAATTTATTAAATAGAAAATGTAAGTGTTAATGTGAATTTAAAAATTTCAAAGACCAAAGTTATAACTTATAACCGGTTGGGTCGACCCGAAACCGATGACACTGGGTCATGAACATACAGTTCTCAACCCGAACCCGAAATAATCCGAACTCGAAGTGATCGAACCCGAACTGACCAACCGATTTGTCAGCTCTACCCGGTAGTCACCGCCCTTTAAATCAAAAAAGAAAAAAGAAACAAAAAACAAATCTTTTATTATGCCTCTATATCCGAAGGAATACCGCGAAAAGCTCTTGGCGCGTTGCGTCTCAGCTCAACAAATTGAGTCCTAACCGCCGCATGCGGCGTGGTATTGCCAGCAGTAACCCAGGCGGAACCATCAAAGCACCGTTCACTGCCGTCACCTTCCCCAATCGCATCGCTAGATTCCGGCGGGATCGACCACGCACAGTCCAATCCGTGAATCGATCTTTCTTCTATCAATTTAATAAGGTGCTCATGCATATTTTCGGTTCCTATTTTTAAAAATGTTTTATTTATCTTCTCATAATCCATAGGGTTCAGTTCAAGATCTGCAATGTTAGGGCTACTTCCCACTGTTTTTCTTGGTATTATGCTACTTGCTTTGCCATCAACCACAAAAAACGTTTGAATCTGCGATGTTTGGGTTGGATTGAAGTAACCGATTTTTATTTTTTTATGTTGTTGCTGATGGTATGTGTAATCAGTAGTCACCTGGATTATGGATGGGAAAAGAATATACATCACAGTTCAAAACTTCAATTTCTGAAGCTAGTCACAAATCTTGTTTCGCTACGCCGTCATAAAAACATATTTTTGTAATTCTGTTCGTGATGTCTTGAGATTTGAGAACTTACCCTAATATGGATATGGAATACGTATGGGGATAGGAGAAAGTTTGAGAAATTGGGGAACAAGGAGAAGAATTTGAGATAGGAGTGATAGAATTTGGGTTTGAGAGGAGTATTTTCTTGATTGATTCCTTAAAGAAGTTTCTCCTTTTAGTTTTTGTCCACATCCTTTCGTGTCTTGGAGTGTGCATTAGAAAGGATCCAAGTTAAACTTATTGGATATAGAATGTCTCTTTTTGAACCATTTGAGCGAAGGCTCACTTGCTTATTGTCAGGTTTTTGGTTTTTTGTGTTTACTTTTTGTTTACCTGTTGGTTTTTTCTGCTTCAGGTGCTGCATATCGTCCCTCGTGTCTAAATTGAAATCAACTTTCCGTACTATGCAGTGAAGATGGAAATCATACATCCGCTCGGAGAGTCAGATCGTTTGCTTAATAAATTAAATGCCATCTATGAAACTGGATATGGTGCACCTACTCTCAACTCTCCTGACAAATGTACAGATTCAGTGCTTGGTTTTGCCAGTATAGAGAGGAAACCCCATTCTCTTCAATTTATAGATAGAAGAGTGTTAGGGATTGACCAGGAAAGGAATGATTCTTTATTCCATGTCGTTCATGAAGAAGTAGACACGGATGAAGATGATAAGATGACACTGATTCAACTTAAGGATAAGTCTAAAAAACATGGCGGTCATGATGATCTTTGCGGAGATGCAGACGATACAATGACTATAGGAAAACTAAAGAGCGCGTGTTCCAAGAAAAGGGGATTTAGCAGTCACTCGGATTCAAGAGTAATTCATGAAGATGTGATCAGTTCTCAGTTAGATGAAGATGACGATGACCTCAAGGTCAATATAGGTTTTCTAAAACCAAGTCTGAGGAAGTGTTCAAAAGCTAAGCAGAGACGCATTGACATGTATCCTATTTCCTTACCTAAAAATGTTACTTCAGACGAAACTGAGGATGCCCTAGCTTCAGGTGTTCCCATGCAATTAAAAAAGGAATCAAGTTCTGCTGAAGTTATAATATGTGAAGTTCCAGAAACTGTTGTGAGTCAGCATAAGATACCTATGTCTGGAGAAGAACAACTTCACTGTATGCTTAATGAAATATCCTATGAGCACTTGGAATCCTTTGAGCCTGATTACTCTCCCTTTGATTGTTGTCGGGATTTGCATCCAAATAATCCCGAGATGAGTTTTGACACAGAAACAATCATGAAGTCCAATAAGCTGGATACTAATAAAACTGGTTGTGCTGACCTTCACGATGGTGAGGATATTTACATGTCTGAAGACGAAGTTGTTTGTGCCAATCTCTCACCCAATGTATCTGAAACAGTACTTGTTAACGACTTTTGTTGGATCAGTAATGATGAAACTTGCATGTCTGAAGATGATGGTGAGGAAAAGTGTCATGCAAACACACAACTTGGTGCTACAATTAGCCCTTTCAAGAAATGTATTTCACTCGGGGACTCTCATTCTAGCTCCAACACTGATAAGTTAGATTCATTCGATGGGCAGCAGCCGCCAAAGTTTTCAAGCTTGGATGAAGAAAATATTCCCACATTGAAATGTCTGCCCTGTGAATCAACATCAAATGTTAGTAGACTTTATCCACTGGGGTGACTTTTACCCCCCTCCCTCCCTCTTTTTACACCCTTCTTTTTTCTTCTGAAACAGTTCAAAATATAATATGTTGCACCTTGCAGGACATTTCTCCATGTTCTCAAGAAGAACTATGTTTGACAATGAACTCAATGGATTTACTTAATGACTTGGATATTTACAGTAAGTTGTGGATGTAGGATGGATATTTAACTTACCTTTCTCCGAGATTTATCTAATCCTTTTGTGTGAATGTTTTTTGCACTTTGTATGTGAACTGGCTTTTTGATACATGAATCTCGAATAATAAGTCAATCGTTACCACATAAATGAGATAATATACTCACTGCTGCCTATTGCGGTCAATTTTCAGGATGCGATGAGAAGCTCAATTTTGGAGTGAATAGCGAAAGTGAAAATACTGAAAACCCATGCATGCCCAGCTCTTTAAGCATAGAAGAGAATGGCACAGTATCAGATGAGTTGTGCCATGAAAAAATTAACACGTGTCCCAATGAGACTGAAGGAAGATTGGTAATTAAAGGAAAAGGCCCCACGCCTGATCGAAAACTAGAGGGTCGCCGGCGGAGTCATTCCCGATCTCTACCCCACTTTAGCAGTGGCTGCTCCTCTGTTCAACTTTTTTCTGCAAGTGCATTAGCATTTTCACAGCAGCAGATGCATGACATTGAGTCACTTGCAGGAATGCTCTTGTTCGAGTTGAGGTCCATAAAGGACATAGTAACAGGAAAATTGCAATATGAAGGCTGTAGCGGTGAATCACTGGAAAATGAATTGGATAAGGTGTGTTTCTCTGCCATATTTAATTCTTATAAACACATTACAGTAATTAGCAACCGATTTTTTTATCTCTTATAGTCTTATCACTGCTCACCAAGTTCTAGCCTCAAAATTGCTGCTTTTCTGATGTCATGTACAGGACAGCTAACAAGTTTATCTTCCCTCCGATTGTAGGATCTAGAGTATTTCTTTTTTAATTTGACAATAAAAGGTTAAAAAAAACCTGGCTTCAATTTAAGAAAGTGGTTGCCCTCCCTGCAGAACCATTGCCCTTTTTAGCGATGAATCTACTTTTTTCATGTCGTAACTCTGGTGGCTTGTGCGGTTGGGAGATTTTGGAGGGGGAGTTTTTTTTGTTTTTTCGAAACTTTATGCTTTAGTCAAATGCGGAGCACTTCTATGTGTAGTTAAATCATGCATTTCTTCTTCACTTTATTTTCAACCATCCAAATGTACTAATAAATGAATCTGCAGAATAATCTCAATGCAAGACACCACATAGTGCTCCATTTCCATATCGTTTTCTTTGTAACTCTTGCAAAACCCCCTTCAAGCTGCTTTCTATTTCTTTCTTTTGGATGGTTGGTGAACTTATAATGCGGTTTAATCTCTGCATTTAAAATTATGGCACACGTGCATGCAAGCTTTGACTTAAAGTTAACGCACTCCCTAATGGTTCTTGTGATCTGGTAGGACCCAAATCTTTTACTTTTACAAGTGAGAACTGCAATTCTGAAAGCAAATAAAGTTGGAAGAAATGCTAGAAAGCAGCTGTCCAAGATGAATAAGCAATGCACCCGGTTTTGCAAACTCTTGGTATGTAATCTTATTTTTATATTTTGATTTTAAAAAAAAAACTTTTTGTAAATCTTATTATTCTCAGCCCCCGCATATAATGGCAGGAAATTAGTCGAGATGGTGCCCCTCCCAATGACGAAGTCCATAATAAGAAAAGAAAAATTGTATTTGCTGATGAAGCAGGTGGTATGCTCTGTCATGTGAAGTATTTCAGTAATGAGTCTCATGACACAAACTTGAAACAGCCTGATGATGGGAAACAAGAAGACTAGAATGTGACTAAGAAGGGAAGGCTCACTTTGGTTGTACATTTTTATACGGGGTATGATAATAGTGACCGCCTTAGTCTCTCTTTTTTTAGTTGAAGGCAACCTGCAACTGAAAGAGGTAAATTATGATTTTTTATGGTACATTTTGCTTTGAGCTTCTTTTTACTCTTATGCCCTTTCTCGTCTACGACCTTCAAGTCATGTTATCAACAACTTGGGTCATCCCCCTTTAGTCTTACAAGTACCTAAATGACCTACAAATGTGCATATGATCCACTCTTTCGGGTACGATTCGCACGCTATCTTAATGTTCTCTTTTTTTTATTTCATGTAATTACCCATTTTGGTTTTCACTTCTTCTCTATCGAGTTTTTGTTGCGTTCACATGTGCAATGTATTTATCTCTGCTCCACACACTCACATCTTTCAATTAAGGCACATACCAATGTTCATCATAACAGCACATACAACAAACGTCACATAGTTCACATCATAGTTCAGTTCACACAAGTGTTTAACATTATTAATTTTATGCTCACGAAGTTCAATAATAGTGTATAGTACTCAAATTCCACTTTGGGCATAACCATCAACTCAACACATGAACATATGCATATTGATCATGTTTGAACATATTAGTGCATGATCTTAGCTTAACCCTATGAAGGACTTGTGACTTGTCAATATGCCACAAACATGCATATGGAGTTATCCTCAGTCAAAACAAATAAACAATCAAAACTAAAAGAATGGTCTGTTAGAGGATTGCTAACCGGTACTGACCTATGATAATGGCATCCAGTACCTAAATACTGATTTTGGTACATAGCAATATTGTGTTAATACTGTCGATGCACGAATCTTCAACATCAACAATTGGTTTAATTCGTGGGTTTCGATACTAGTTCACGGTATTCCAAAAATGTGCAAATGGCACAAATATGAGACAAAAATTATGGGATGAACAAAAAGGTAAAACTACACAAAAATAGTGGGACAAAGTAAATAATAATTGTACCAAAATATTTCTCTTTTTGAATCCAAGATTAGTTTAAACTTTCTTTTTTGAAAATTATTTATTTTTTTACTATCCTGATTAAAAGCCTAATTTACTCTATCTTAGGTGATCGTCTGGATAGTCTTGAAGAGCCCTTAAAAATGAGGTTCATCCTTTTTTCTCCTATAGTAATATGACGCTTAAACTTTACCTTCTACTTTTAAAATAAAGTCATTTGGTGTCAAGGAACCAACTCAACCAAAAGCTCAAACTTGTAGTTGTGGCCCAGGAACAGATATTTATATACTCTAACACGCCCCCTCACGTGCAGGCATGACCTCTTTGAGCCTTGCACGTGAAACCTTAATTTTTTTAAACTGGGTGGCGGTGAGTTTCGAACTCGTGACCTCTTGGTCATCAAGGCTCTGATACCATGTCAAGGAACCAACTCAACCAAAAGCTCAAGCTTGTAGCATGTCAAGGAACCCATTCAACCAAAAGTTCAAGCTTGTGGTTGTGGCCCAGGAACAGATATATATATACTCTAACATTTGGTCCGTTTCAATTCATGATTATATTTAGTTAATTAAAAACCATCTTTAACGTTTGATCTAATTTCTAGAACAATGTAGAAAAAGTTGTTGGGGTTTTCAACTCGGGCCAACATCATCCTTGAGCCGAAGGAGGCTATGAACAAGTATTGATATGTGTAGAGGAAGATGAAGAACACATCATGACCATGAAGCATCTGAGAGAAAATTATTGGCTCTTTTCCAGTTAAACCTTATTCATTTACGTTATGTTTGGTTTGAGGAATTCGGAACGAAAAAAGAAGGAAATTTTCTCTATTTTTATTTTCTTTTCAAGTTCTTTATAATCAAACAAGAAAAAGTTATTTTCATTTATTTTTTTTATCTTTCAAATTTCTTAAGCCAAATATAATGTTAGTATTTGATGATACAAAGGTTAAGAAGTCACATGAGAGGCTCTCAAATTCCCTCCAAGTTTACAAGTGGAAAAAAAGACTAAGGGTGAGGTATGCAAGACTTCCATGCTAGGTCAGAATGGGAAAAAGTATCATTGTTGATGTGAATGATGCTTTGTGACGTGACATGTGGTGAGTTAAGCATTGCAACTAATGACAATCGTAATTTGTAATCACGAAGAGGGATAACCGCCATCACGATTGACATTCATCATTTCACATGCCCATCTACTATATTGAAGAGACGCATAACGAATGTGGAACACTTCAGTACTTCATCACTCTATTCGGCCTCCAATGGCCGGGCGTCCTTGTCAAAATGGCTTTGTTTGGAAGTTGGAACTATAACTTGGGATCCACATAAGTATGGTTATGATGTTTCTTTTAAAAATTTAATAATAACATAAGAAATATTTTTGTAATTGAACAATCTAAATTAGATGGATAAAATAATTTAAAAAAAAAATTAAAAATGATATTTACTCAGTCATGTTTTGGTTCGATCTGGATTTTACTCGTTCAATCATACTTCGATCCTTACCATATTCACTTTGATCTTCGTCGTTCGAGCCACAAAATGTTCTTTTTTTTGTTTTTGGTCTAGTCTTAATTTAGGTCGGTCCAATTCAGATTTGGACCAATATAATGCACCCCCCTAAGATTCACCGTTTCACTTCGGAATTAAATGTAGAAGTCTAGAACCCTAACAAGTTGTTTTGGAATTACACCGAAATAAAAACTGATAAATTAAAGAATTAAAACAGAAGACGAGGGTTGCGATTCCCGTTCATATATTTTTGATAATGGAACAATATATTCTGCTCGGTTTCATTTTATTCTGTTAGATTAGTTATGCTCATAGTTCAATAGAAAATCAAATTTGTGAGAAAAATTATATTTTTGTATAATCCAATAATTATTTTTCTTGAAGCATATTTATTTTATAAAAAAATACTCCGTAATAAACAAATCAGAAACTGAATTTAGAAGTAGCCAGTGCCTCAAGGTTTCAATTCCTCTAATCCACTATTCTAGTAACCGGAACCGGAAGCGGAATCGAACCAAAACCGAAACCGAAACCGGGGCATTTCCATTGGATTTAGTTTGAATAATCGGAAAACCCGCACTATATTAATCCGCGTCTGTTAATTTCCGCCAACCCGCCATTTTCCAATACTTTTGAACCATTTGCCGCCTAAAACTAAAGGCTTCATCCACTCCCCCCGTCTTCGTCGTCTTCACTCAGCCCCCATTTATCTTCAAAAGCCGGAAATCAGATCCGTTCTTCATCTGTCCAGGAGGCCCTGTTCAAAAAAACCCTAAAATCTATTGTTCCGGAACATCCGGCCGATGGAAAGCTTCGACGACTACGAGTCGTTCTCACCTCCCGTCGAACTCCCGCCGTTGCTGAAGACTCCGAGTTTCAAACGATTAAAGAAACCCGGGAGGGCCGCGGAAAATCCTCCGGCGACTTCAATTGACGACGTTTTTGCGTTTCCTCAAGTCGATTTTGCCAAATTGGAAGCTCTGGAAGCTTCTGAAACCTTAGTAGAGGATTCCGATGATTCGGAGGGGCCTCGGTTGCCGCCTCCAGGCTTGGATGATGATTCTGAGTTGAAATTTGACTCTGTGGGGAAGCATAATGAGGCCCGTAGGGTTTTGAGCTCGGATGAGGAGAATGGGTTGGATATGAATGCAGAAGGACTGAGATCTGTTGGTGAAAATGGCGAGGAGAGTGTGGAAGCTGGTGAAGGGCTAGAAGATCGGAAGCTCGAGATAAAAGAAAGCAAAAGGAAAAAAAGTGCAGATTCGAATTCGAATGGAAGTGATAAAAGTAAGAGCAAGAAGGCAAAGGTGGATGATGGTGTTGATCTAAAGCCCAAAGAGTCAGCTCCGAATAAAGGAAGAGAACAGAAGGTCCATTTTTCTGCCTCTTGTCTACTTCCCCATCAATCACCCCAAATGTGAATTTGAATTCGCTGATTTGTTATGAATTTCTTCAGGAAAGGAAACAAAGTTTGCAGCAGCTTCATGCTGAGACCCAGAGGCTATTAAGAGGTCTGTCCTGGTGGCTTTAAATCTATGACCATGATCTTTTATATTTTTAATTAATTTTGAAGAGAGTTTAGCTTGATTATAATTGTCTGTGTCATCTTAATTGAGATCTGTTTCTGTTAATTTATTGCAATCTTTACCTATGCCTGTAATTTCTTTTCCTATTGTGTGAATAGAAACAAGAGATGCCTCATTCAAGCCTATACCGGTTGTGCATAAACCCATATCTTCAGTATTGCAAAAGATTCGGCAGAGGAAGCTTGAGATCTCAAAAAAGTATGTTGCTATTAAATATTTAAAAATTTTGTCTTTTGGCCCGACACTCTTGTATCTTAAAATGTTGCTCTTATTATTATACTATTATTATTTCTCCGCATTATGATTAGTATTATTACTGTTTTTGTATACAGAAGTATATCATTAACAAACAGCTATTCTCTTCATACAAACAATGGTGGAGTGAGAAAAAAAGTGGCTGAGGAGGACTTGGACAACATTTCTAAAGAACATTTCGTAGTTGAAATATCAGAAAACATGACAGAGTCACAGGCTGAGGATTCAAAAAATGTTGCAACTGGGCCTTCAGTTCCTGAAGCTGATGCAGATCATGAAAGTGTTTCAAGTCAAGCGGTGAGGGATATCGCATGGACTTTCTTTAGGTTATTATGTTTGGGTGGAGAGTTTTGGAGGGCTTATTTTATAGCTTCATATATAGAGTGTTTCTAAAAATGATCAAAAGGTGACATATTATATTCAGTTTCCAGTCTTAATTTTTAATAAAATCTCAATTATATATCAAGATGTAGACTAAGGCCTCCAAACTCTAAAGACTTTCCCTCTGGACTAGTCTAAAACTGTCTATTCAAGCAGACCATTAGTTGCCTGTGTAGTTTTTTGTTAATTTCATAATCTGCTAATGGAGTGCATTCATGTGTTGATTCTCATTGACATGGTCTTCATGTTATATTTATCTCTGTCACTATGCCCTTGCAGGTTCTGGACGAAGTTGCTCAGCCTATGTTTCGAGCTCCCGTTGATACTCAGGTTTTTTATCTGTATACTTCATGCAACAATGTTTAACATTCTATTACCACTGAACCAATGTTTGAATGATGAGGCCTTGTTTTATTACTGTTTTTATTTTAATCATCAGGATATTTTTGGTGATTCTCAAGATATTGATGAAACAAATGAGACCCCTAAATGCAATGAGGATAGTAGTCCATTGGAAGAAATAATGGCACCATCTGTCCTTGCTATGAAACTGAAGTTTGATTCTATCCCTCCAGATGAATGGTGAGTTATATTGGTTTGCAGGCAAAAAGGCTTCTTAGTCAGTCATAATTACTTCCATTTCAAGTTCCCCTTTTAGCCAATCCTTTAAAACCGAAGACTTTCTCTTTGTAGCTCTTCAGATGAAGAAGACCATCACATAGAGGATATAGATCAAAATCCTGATCTAGACTGTCCTCCAAAAGGTGACCCAGTTAAACTATTTGTTGATGAGGAAGCTGAGGAAGATGACAGTGACAATGACGCACACCGCTTTGATCAAAATGAAGATGATGAAGATATTGATGATTTTGAAGAAGTCAAAGATATGATTGCTACTAATTTTGAAGAGAAACCCTCAGATAATGAGAGGCGGAATGACCTTCATAGGAAGTGGCTTGAGCAGCAGGATGCGGTTGGAACTGAAAACCTGCTCCAGAAATTGAAATTTGGTTCCAAACATAAAGAGACAGCATTGCTTGATGATGAACAAGTGGACAGTGAGTCTGAAGAATTTAATGATGATGCTGAAGAGGAAGCACAGCCAATGATTTCTGCACGACTAAATAAGAGAAAAGCAAAACAAATAATAACTCAGATGTTTATGGAAAAAGATGACGTTTTCTTATCAGATGATGAAGAGGAGAAAGACAGGATGATTATAAAACAGCATGCCCTTATTAGAGCTGTAAGTCCAACTTCATCTTATATTATTGGCAAATTATTTGGTCATTCCTCTTGGGTTGTATTTGAATATCTGGTAAAAAAGCACAGTTTTATTGTTACCTGGCTTCAAAAACAGGAAGACCAGACAACACTGGTGTCTCCAATTGAAGATGAAAATTCCAAAACATTTTTTGGTCTTATAAAGAAACTGAATACAGTCCCTGACAAAAAGAAGAAAGCAAAACCGTCCTGTAAGCTATGATATGCAGTATTTCATTTATGTTATGGATTTCAAATATTATCGTTTCTCATGTTTCATGTTCTCGTACAGCTTATTTTGAAAAAATTCTAGGAGGCTCAAAAGACAAATGCTCTTCAAAGGTAAGTCTACTTATTTAATTAATATCTTGTATCATTACACATTTTCCCTTAGTTTCCTTTAATCATTTTCACTTAATCAAATTGAGGTTTAGTGTCTGCTTGGTATGCCCTTGTTTTGCTTATAATTCTTATTAGCTTGATGTTTAGCAAAAACCTTCTATTTTGGTTGTGCTTACTAAGCCAGTTGATTAAAAAACTAGCCTCTAAATTTGCCTTTTTTTTGTTGAAGTGAAAAATATATCATATCTTTGTATATTTAGCATGCTTAGCTTATATTTTGGAACAGATGATGCTAAAAACATAATGATGCTTCAATGCCTATTGTGCATTACAAATTAAAATTACATGAACTGCACCAGCTGTTGCCTTGCAAACACTTCATATGCTGTGTTTTATAATTACAAATACCATCATTACCATGCTAAAGTTTCACAAATGGACATTAAAAATGTCATTTTAAATGTTTGTTCAAGTAATTCAAATACTTCCCTCTTATGCGTGCTTTTTTCATTTCTACGTGTTGCAGTCATCCTTTCTTGGGCGAGCAACAAAGCGTCATATTCCAGTACCCAACAAGCAAAGTTCATGCACGTTTCGATCTTTCATCTTTGAACGTGATGACAGCAATAGCCGGACTTCATTCCCAATGTCAGATGATTCCTCACACACGGTATCTTAAATGTCCTCCTACAAACATTGCCTCCTTAACTTTGCCTTCTTTGAAGTTTGAAATCACTAGTGTCAAATTTGGACTCTCTTTTCATATGCAGGTCGTCGCAGAAAAACATCCAACCAAGAACAGTGTAGCTAAGTTCAGTGGTTCTCAAGCAAAATACAGTACTCCTAGCAAAAGCTCTGGTGAAGAAATATCAAGTGGGCTTTCCCTGTTTGATATACGACCTTCGCCACCCAGTCTCAGAAATGAAGAAAATGATGAATTATTTTCAATCAAGCTCCGCGGGCTACTTTCGAGGCTCCCAAGAAGGAAGCGAAGTTAGGATATATTCTCTGTGAATATCACATTATTTTATAGGACTCTACTCACTCTTGGACTAAATATATGGCACAAAGATAATCCAACACCAGAGGAGTGAAGATTTTTTTTAAAGGTTTCATATGTGTTTTCAATAGAATGTAAAATGTGATAAGCTATTTTTAATGTTAAGTACTGCCTCTATTGCAAATTAGTTTGATTGTTTGAGCTTATCATGATTCTTTATGTAATTTTTTGGCGGTTAATAGTTTTACTTTTACATTAATAAATGTTAGGAGTACTCTAAAAGAATACTCCCCTATGAAATTACTTTCTATGAAAAGCACAAAAATGTTTTGTTGGGTATCAAAACCCCTACGCCGTAGATAGTGTCTCAGTCCACTTTGGCAAATTGAGACATACAGAGTATGAAATGATAGGCGGTAGATTAGAATTAGTGGCCAAGGCCATGTTCTTTCATGATATGATGATTCTGATTCAATTAGATTAAATTTTTATCTAATTTTGTTTGATCTAAATAGAATGTAGTTATAATTAAAATTATTTTTGATCTGATCTAATTCTAATAAGAATTAGTAATAATTAAAAAAAATTAGTTGAGAAGAAAATGACCTAAGTGTTTTATGACAAATTGAAACAAAAAAGCATACTGAGTATGAAATCATATTTGGTACAAAAATTATCAACTCCGTTTATGACACATAAATATTAAAATTATATGGCGTATCAAAATAAGATTTCTTATGCTTCTTTTCTTAAATAGGAATGTTGGTATTGTGCAATGATACATGTTGATATTGTATTTTGGTTTTTGATTAATTTTATAATTGATTTTTTATAACAAAAAGTTTTTCATATTTAGTACTCCGTACTTTATTACGGAGTATCAAATATTACTCTCGTGGTCTTTTTTTTATGGATACTTTTTCACAAATATGTCTTTTTTAATCTTATGTCATGCTGATGTTAATTTGATGGGTAAAAGTGTAATTTGACATCAACATTATGTGCAGTGACACATTCTAATGTCGATTAGACGGAGAATACAATAATAACGACCACGACTATGGACTATGGACTAGGATTCCAACCAAAAATCATATTTATAGACTATGATTGTAGTAGAAAATATTTGCATTTTACAAATGATGCATAAAGAGTGACCTCTAGAATTGTGTATGACAAAAATGATATATATTTATTGTAAAATTACAATGTGAGCCTTCAAATTAAAACCAATATGACTAAATAAAAAACTACTTCTGCTAGCTGATATCATTTATTTTAAATTTTACTCCCTCCGTCCCAAATTATAATGTCTGTTTACTATTCATAGGGTTAAACTTCATTCACTTTCTTTCTCTATTTTCGTTAGCAATTTGATAAAATAAAATATTAGTCACTACTAGTTTTGTAGATCTTTTGATGTAGTTTTTTAATATGTAATTTTTATTTTTTAATTCTATACCATTTGTCATATAAAATGGTTTGAAAATAATTTCAGTCAAACATCGTAAACCGAAACAAGCGTTATAAAATGGGACGGAGGTAGTAGAATTTATATCTTATAAATCCTCCACAACTCATTAAATGAGTCTCAAATTAATCTTGCATTTTCTTTTTTTGAGAAGTATTTTGTGGCTTACTTTTTACTCTTCTCTTTATCACTTTCAATCATATAATTTTATTTGTTGAGATAGAGAAATTAATAAAATAGTAAATTGAGAATCTAAAAAGTCTCACGTGTTCACAATTTCTCCATTGGAATTCCCCTAGTAGCAAAGTTTGAAAAATTAAATCATTTGTATTCCAAATTGTACATTACAAGTGTGCACATTCATTTTATATCAGTGTGATGCTAGAGTGATGATTTACACAAGTATACAATATTAATATAATTTTTATTTAATTATACTAATATTTTTATACTAGTATAAATCATCAAAATATTACTCCTTCTGTCCTAAAACTATCTTCCTAATTACTATTCACACGGTCAAACTTAAATCACTTTCTTTTATTTTCGTTAGTTATTTGATAAAATAATATAGTCTTGTCACCACTAAATTTATAGAACTTTTGATATAGTTTTTAAATATGTAAATTTTATTTTTTTAATTTTACACCTACAATGAAATAAATTAAATTGAAAATAAAATCACTTAAATCTCGTAAATACAAATAGGAAGATGTTTTTTTTGGAGGGAGGGAGTATATTTGAAATGTAAAGTGTACTCCTAACTTGGCCCCCACTTTGACGGTGTCTCCCATTTGTGACGAAAGGCCGGTAGAGAAAAATCTGTTAGGAGAAAAAGCCAGAATAAATATCCAATTCCCAAGAAACTTCTCTTCTTTCGGCCACGCTTCCCCGAGGCTCCAACCAACCGAAACGGCAACTACAATGGGAGTAGAGTAGTCTCCCTATGACATCGCCAACCTCATCTCATTCTCCTGGAATTCGCGCTTCCATCATCCCAACCTCCATCTGTCTGCAAACGAATTTCACAGAGAAGCTGGATTTTAGTGTATCGGACTCGAGGAGATGGCGGATTCCAGGGGCGGCGGCGGACGAGTTTCCTCCGAAACCGCGATCCCCTCCGGTTTGAACCGTATTAAGACCAGGCGTTTGGATCCAATGGACCGGCCCAGTTCGAGAGCGTCGGCGGAGTCTAACAACTCTCCAAGCTGTGGAGCTTCCAGACCTCATCTGAAGCAGAATCAGAGGGCGGCTGCTGGCAGAGCACCCGGAGAAGGTTGCTTCTTCCTCAACTCATACTTAGAGATCGTAATGTGTTTTTCCTCGGCATGTTGGAAATGTTTGCATGTGTGCAGACACATCTGTAGGCTTTTTAGCCCTAAACTTGTTATGAATTAGCGAAAAGAAAGTGTAGAAAAATCAACTGCAGAAGCAAAAATGAGTAGCATTCTGTTGCAACAGGTTGATTGTTCATTGCTAAGTTTGATTGCTATACAAATGGATTCGGTAAGATTTTAATGCTAGATATGTGTAATTTTGCACTGTTTATTCGGATAGCGGGTGCTTGTATTTGGTTTCGTTTTCAGTCCATGAATCTAGAAAGAGACAACTGGAGTTACTAGGAGGGGGGAACTCGTATATTGTATGCACTTGCATAGTGGATTAAGATCGCAGGTGTATTAAGTTATAAGTTACATTTGGAGTTCCTGAATCTATAGCATGCCTGGAGTGAGGCTTATGCTTGATTTTTTGCATTCTACTCTGTAATTTTATTTACTTCATTGAATCTAATTGTGCTAAACACTATAGGATGCTGTGAAGGAAGAGAGTTAGCTGGTTGGCATGTAAGAGTTCAAGAGGGGTACAGGAAATTGAGTGGCATTGACAAGGATGGCTGTGGTAGGAATGTGAATGAAATGAAGCAGAATTCAGATGTACTGGAATCTTCAGTAGGAGGAACATGGAGTAACTCATCAAAAGGGTTCAAAAGCTTTTCACATGAACTAGGGCCAAAATGTGGAATTCAATCTGTGCATCCTCGGGCTCACAGCTATAATGATATGAAGGTGCCACTTGTTCTATTTCTATTTTCTGTTTCTCGTGGTTAGACCGTTAGAGTACTCCATATATTCTTGAGAGATGGTTACTAGGATAGTATGAATTGAATGTAATAAAGTACTTGTTCTCTGAACTTTTGATATTGATCCGCATAAAAATGTCAAGTTCATTATCGTTTTGACGGTTTCTAGCAGTCCTCATCTTCTATGTATGCTAAGTGCATCTATAGTTCTGATGAATGGTGGCTGGTGGCTTCTAGCACTTGACCGATCCAAGATTGGCAAGACAACAAGAAATGAGGGCTCTAATAGCTACAGGCCGTTGGTTAATCTGGAAGGCGCATTACTCGCTCATTTTTGAGAACCAGATCATCAACCATTTGGAGTGAGTTCAAGGCAAAAGAAAGCTGACTCAGGAATTTTTTCTTAGCTGTTTATCTTACAATTAAGTTATCCCCATTGCCTCTTTTATCCTAAATGTGCAGTGATTCTGAAATATCCCATTTCTTTTTCTGTTTGTTGTCCATTTGGACCATTCTGTAATGCTTTATTCATCAATAAAGTTATCATTATCTTCTGTAAAATACAATTTGAAATTATCAATTATCTCAGTTTATGAATTGATATCCAGGAATTGTTGGGATCATTGCATTCAAGGTTTGATGCTGCAAAAGAAGTAGTCAATACAGAATTAGGACACTTTTCACAGGAGGTGGTAGAAATCTTGCAACAGAACGATCCACTACCCCCGGATGAAAAAGGAACTGCTGAGGGACTTCTAGTTCTTTCTCAAGAATGTATTCAGATGACATGCTTAGTATTTCGTAGTAAGTGTGAAGCAATCGTCCAAGATTTGACTATCAAAAGACAACAATGTGAGACAGGATTACTGAAGTGGCTTCTAACGCGCATGCTTTTTATTTTGACACGGTGTACCAGATTGCTGCAATTTGTGAAGGATAGTGAACCAGTCCATGAGACATCTCTGACTAAGTTTAGAGAATGTCTAAATAGGGTTCCTTTTGTTAAAAGGAACTGGGCTGTGGATGGAAGGATTGCTGATGTAAGTAAAGACATTACTCTGGATGCCAATACAGATGGTAAATGCAAAGTTCTTGGAGTTAACCACTCATGTGTTCTCTCTCCAAAAAATTATCCTGGGTCCAAAGTGCTTGCTCATGAGAACGGAACAACTTTGGAAAGAGATTTTATGGATTCTCAACGAACTTCACCATCCCATGATTGTGAATTTGAACAATTAGATCAATCTGGTGGAAGAATCCTTGGTGAACATATGAACAAATACACTCGTGGTTTTTGTCAGGAGCAACTCCCGGGGTCTGATGATCCTAATTTTGTTATGTGTCGAATATGCGAGGACCTAGTTCCCACCATTCATTTGGAGCCCCATTCTTATATCTGTGCGTATGCAGAGAAATGTGAATCAAAGTTTCTCGATTTAGATGAACGTCTTCTGAAGTTGGCGGAGTTGCTGGAACAGCTCTTGGAGTCACGTAATTCAAGCATTCACACATTGCCTGAATGGACAGAAAATCCTAAGTTGCAGACTGCATATTTCACTACCCCTTCGGAAGGCTGTTCACCAAAGATAAGGGAATGGCGAAGCAAAGGCGTGGATGGAATGTTTGAGGATCTTCATGAAATGGATACTGCAGAAATAGAAGATTCTCCACTCTCGACATTTCTCAATATGAAGGCACACTTGTGTTCAAAGCTCAACAATTGTGGTCCGCCATCATCAACTGGGAGTATCACTTCAACATCCTCTACTAATACTCCCCACACAGTAAATTTTGACTTTTTTTGGCTAGACAATAACAATCTGTCAGACCTGGAAGATACTCAACAGGTTCGGCTTTTGCTTCTAATTTCTTTAAATTTTAGATTTATGATCCATTATGAATCCTACTTTTAATCAGGATTGACGCCATATTTCAAGTAATTTACGCTTTAGTTATTGTACATCATTTTTTTGTATGGGTAGAACCAATATCTGGCAAGATGTACGATGGTAACGAAATGCAGGATGTCATGATATCCAATCTTGTTATCTGCTGCATGCCTGCATGGACATGTCAGTTAAGGAAACACCAGCCCAACTTTTCTCTAAACCCCCTTCCTACTTCAAACTATTTCCCGCTGCAAAAGTAATCTTTTAAAGCGATTTGTAATCGGAAAAGCCTGCATAATCTCATATTCAGCAGTAGAGAAGAGCATAAGCTTTCATTTATTGTTTCAAAGCACTGCTGAGTTCCCAGCTTTTGGTGCAGATTGTTGACCTTTCAGATCTTGCACGGAGGGCGGCAAGCACTGATCTGTCAGAAGAAGGATCCCATGAGTTTTTAATTGCGTGCATGCAAGATCTACAGGATATGTTGCGATGCAGTAAGTTAAAAGCTTTAGTGGTAGATACATTTGGGGGGAGAATAGAGCATTTATTGAGGTAATTCTGTTGATAGTAAATACAAGGTAGTAGTACTCTAGTAAATGAGAGAGAATATATAGAATAAATTACAGATGTTCTACTGCATAACTTTCAGGGAGAAGTACTTACTTGCTTTTGATCTAGTGGGAAGGAAGAACGACGTTGGACATTCAGAGAATATCAATATACCACCGCGTGATACCTCTTTGAATAATGTTAATTCTATTCCTTTGCATTCCTTGCACAGAGAGCGGACAAGCATTGATGACTTTGAGATTATCAAACCAATCAGTAGAGGTGCCTTTGGCAGAGTCTTTCTGACTCGAAAGCGGACAACAGGGGATTTATTTGCAATTAAGGTACTTTTCAAACATCTCCGCGATGTTGTATATTTGAGAGATCATTCAGTGATACATCTTCTCTTTCCTTAATCTTCAAGAGGGAATATATGGATATCGATCTATACTTTAGAGTATTAGATTGTGCTAAATGCATCTTCTTTTTCTGTACGGGTTGTTGTTGCATCTTCTTTTTCTGTTCTGATCTGATACATATCCTTCGTGTGTTGTTTTACTCTTTTGTGGAGAGCGGTGGCTGAGTTCCCTAGATAAATAAATAAAATGATAGGTTTATGAATTCATCATGCATGTATTTGTATACTGTATAGTGACTTAGTGTACCAATGTTAATGTGTTGAAGTACCAAACCAGTTTGAATTGCTATAATGCTGAAGCAATAACATAGTGAAAGTTCTATAGATCTAATAAAGTAAAAGATCCAAGTGCACTTTGTAGTTACACAATTTAATATTCCTCACAGACCCCAGGGTTCATGTTATGAAACCATAAGAATTGCAACTGATGGGCTTTTGCCTTTAATTAAAGGCCAACTAGCATTTCTTTTTTGTCCAGCTTTTGATATAATTTTTTAAGAACAGAAAGTGATAGGATGCTGATTGTTTCATATGCAGGTGCTCAAGAAAATGGATTTGTTGAGGAAGAATGATATTGAGCGTATACTTGCCGAGCGTAACATATTAATAACTGTCAGAAATCCATTTGTGGTAACAATATGATTCTTTCCTCTTATGACTTGGCTGCTTCATCTTGTTCTGTTGTTCAATATTCATTGTCACTTGTAATATTTCCCAATATCTAAACTTTTTATGCTCTACAATCTACATATTACTTTATGAATTGAACTTTACACCTAGAGTATTTGATATTTATGTACTCCTAAAAGTGATGCACCTTCGTGATGCCATTTCAGGTTCGGTTTTTCTATTCTTTCACCAGCAAAGACTACCTTTATTTGGTTATGGAATATCTTAATGGTGGAGATCTATACTCACTACTCAGAAAAGTTCGCTGCCTTGAGGAAGATGTTGCTCGTGTTTATATTGCAGAGCTGGTACTTTATGAAAGGAGCTCAGACCAAAAGTATCAGTGCCTTTTAAAGCTTTTGTAATATAAAACTTTTTCATCTTTCAGGTTCTTGCTCTGGATTATCTTCATTCTTTAGGAATAGTTCATCGCGATCTCAAGCCAGACAACATACTAATTGCACAAGATGGGCACATCAAGGTTTGTTCAACAAAATTGGAAGATAGGACTGATATAATCAAAGTTAGCTGAAACAAAGTGTGCAATGATGCAATTTATATATGTACTGAGTTTCTATCCAACATTTCTGAATAACGGACATAGAGTTTAAGCTGTAGCTTGTAGCAATATTTTAAGTATCGTAAAATGTGTTAGCTCTAGTTTAGACACTAATATTGTACATACAGAATGTGACTCTGTAAGATGTTGAAATCATTAAATTTTGGGGTTGGGTAGTATTGATCTAATTTTCTTTGAATGTATGCAACTTCTTTGTGATAATTTTAAGTGTTCTTCTTTTCATCTAGAAGTGCTCATGTTGATCTTAATTTGATTTGACCAGCTTACAGATTTCGGTTTGTCAAAGATTGGCCTTATGAATAGCACAGATGATTTATCAGGACATAATATGAATGAAGTGCCATCATCAGTTTCCAATAGCCAACTCAATCAAGATACATTAGAGAAAACTCAGCGGTCAGCTGTTGGTACTCCAGACTATTTAGCGCCTGAAATCCTTCTTGGAACGGAACATGGTGAGGATGATGCTAATATGATTCTTCGTTACCTCCCCCTAACCCCCACTGCACCCAAAAGGAAGAATATGGTGAATGATGCATGAGATGTATTGATAGTGTCATGTAGGAGAATGTTGTAAACATTTGGGAGTTGCCTAGTTTTTTAAGCCTTCTCAAACCTTACTGCAGGCATCGCAGCAGATTGGTGGTCCGTAGGAATCATTTTATTTGAACTCATCACCGGAGTTCCACCTTTTACTGCCGAGCACCCAGAGGTAATATTTGATCATCATATCCGCAGCACAGTCCCAACTATGTTTTGGCTCATGACTTAATATGTATAGCATCAATCAGTTGTCTTAGGTTTATTACGCCGTCTGTCCCAAAAGAGGGTCTGGTTCCAACCACTTATTAAAAAAGATAGTCATGATTGATCAAACAAAGCCTAATATTTCGTGAAAAGAGTCACAGACAAGTTAAGGTTAAGTAACTGACGTAACTCAACAAATAAGTTTGTAAAATATTAGTACCCCATGATTTGTGAACCTTACTAAAATTATGTTGGACATGGTCAAACATGATTCACTTTCAGAGTTAGTAAGTTATATACACTTAAATTCATGCGTGCAAAAATCACAGTGACAAAGTTTTAATGACCTCCATGTCCCAACCTAGAAGGAATATTGAGATGAAATTTCATTAGTCATCTTCATGTATTTTTCCAATTGCGTAGAAAATATCACGAGACGTCAATGAGTTGAGATCTCGAGATCATTATTTTAGTCATCATTGCAACATTTATCTAAAGTCAACATGACAATGAAACATGACACTGAACCATGACCAAATGGGTAATATACGCTCTAAACAATTGTTGTTTGTAAGGAATCCTATTTGGAAAGTTTGAAAGCTTTCATTACCTACAGTGATGCCTTCCCTAACAAATCACACACCATAGTCAAATACTCCGTAATAATAAATGGTATTGGCATTTATCCTGTTTGGAGAGTTGTTGGGGTTAAAGCCCGGTACAGTAACTTATCACCCTGCTAACATTTATAAAATGTTATGATCAAATAGTGTTTATTTAATGACTCATTTTTAATCGTAAATGCATTCTTTTACCACTTCAATTTTGAAATCAGCATAATGTTTATCAGATTAGCTAACCCCATTGATTTGGGATTAATGTTGTTGTTTTAGCGCATCCCTATCTGGAGACGAAATTTGTATAAGCCCGTTGGATGATAAATTTTATCCGGATATCTCTCCTGACATTTAATTCTTTAATTCTTTTGGCTTGACAGATTATCTTTGACAATATCCTTAACAAGGAAATCCCTTGGCCGTCTGTTCCTGACGAGATGTCCTTTGAGGCCCAAGACTTGATTGATAGGTTTGTTGAATTTTTTTTGTGTGTGTTTAAATAGCGAAGGTAAAATACAAACGGTATATTATGATATTGGTGAACAACTTTTCAAAAAATCCCCCATCAGAATGGTACTTTTATTTAAAGTGGCATAACCATTTATCGTTTTTTTGGCTTTCCACTTTGTGATGGTAATTACTTGACTTTTCTATGTATCATTTCCTTTTTTGACATTTCTTCCACTCATCTGAAAAAATCTGATTTGTTTACTTTTGTTGCAGACTTCTTGTTCATGATCCAAGTCAGCGACTTGGAGCAAATGATACATCAGAGGTTGTATTCTCATACAAAAATGATTAAACATTAACATACACACGGTTATAGCAGCTAGAGGTTGCATGGGGAAGTGCTTTAAACTGAACCTATTGTTTTCTCTATATTTTCTGTACAGGTGAAAGAACATTTGTTCTTCAAGGGGGTTGATTGGGACAATTTAGCCTTGCAAAATGTGTGAATGCTATACTTCAACACTGGTTTTTTAATTAATATTAATGGAATAATGGCCAATGGGCATTGTGTCCTTTGTATGTAGGAAGACTGATGGTTGTTTTGTTGGCTAAATTAATTTACATGTGTCCTCAGGCTGCATTTGTGCCCCAAACTGACAGTATAGATGACACTAGCTACTTTGTGTCACGGTATGATTCAGATGGAGCCGAAGATGATGAGGATCGTGATGATTCCACTTCTGTCTTCTCTGAGCCATTTTCTAACTCCTCAAGCATTGAGGTGAGTTCATGTATAAACATATAAATTTTGCTATTTTTTTCTGATCATAATATAAATGAAATATGTGCAAAATATATTTTGAGGTTTGTGCTTGGACATTGTTTTGGACATATCTACTATCTCGTTTAACTCGTAATTAAAATTTTCCCCAAAATGTTCATTTTTTGAAGATGGATGAATGTGGTGATCTTGCTGAGTTTGATGCTACTCCTTTTGATCTGTCCCTGATGAATTTTTCTTTCAAGGTAAAACCTCTATTATTTTCCCAGCCAACACACATATGAGGAAAACCTCCATCTCGATCTATTAGAGTGTTAGGATACAGTTCCATTTGAATCCCGGTTTTTTTCTCAAAAATCATTATCATCATCATCGAATTCTTAAAGATTTTACAAGTGAGATGAGTTAGAACGAATATCTAAATTTGGGTTTATTGAGTTTGAACCATTTCTCCAACAACTTTTCTTTCCATTCAAAATCTCCATCTATATTCGTTTTATAAGTACTTTCTTTCCCTAGCGTTTTACGGCATTCCAAATGGACCCCAGACTTCTGGAACTTTATATTTCCGCACGGTATTTCTGATTTCAGCGTAATATGATTGTATGAATATACTTATTGTGTTATTGATTTCCCCTCTGGCCAGAATCTGTCACAGTTGGCATCTATCAACCATGAAATGGCAGTGCAAAATGGAAAGGACTCAACAAGGTCAGCATCTCCAATGCGACCTTAGCTTATTATTCCTTTCTCTATATGGTTGACCGACATCTTTTCGCATGTTATTAGTTCATAGCCAACATACAGAGGGGTACGTACCAAAGGAGATGAAATGTATAGACAAAAAAAGAAGAAAAGAAATACCCAATAGGCCGATATAGCTAGGCAGAAGATAGTGGCGATTGGTTTCATAGATGGATTAAAAGAAAAAGATAGTAAATGGAAGAGAACAAATCAGCTTGTACAGTTTTGACATGTAAGATCATAGGGTTGAATGTTGTGCATTATGTACTGTCCTTTTTGTTGATGCCTTCTGCGATTTTAATGACTCGTTGCTTAGCTCTATTGTCCAAACATTGCTTTTATCGAAGCTAATAAATTTTGCTTGGTGTTTATTACACACACAAAAAAAAACTTATGATGTTTGGGTAATTCACACTTTGCACCCTCAAAAAGGGAATATTAATCACTTTGCACCCTCTGAAACAAAATTTATTTAAGAGTAGATTCTATATATGATTCGTAATTATAAATGATTTTTCATATTTAGTTCTCAATTCTAAAATATTACACAAATGATCTTCATTTTTAAAAATATTATTCCATAAATAGTCTTTTAGACTAAATATGATATAGTCCTTGAAGGACTGATTATGAATATTTTTTTAAAAATTGAGAATAATTTATATAAAATCTTAAGACTAAAGACTAAATAGGGAAATCATCTGTAACTAGGGATCACTATTTACTTTTTATTTTATTCCAACCCCAAAATTTTAAACATGTTATGAAGATGTAAATATTTCAAATGAAGATAAAATCATCGATAATTATGAAATACATAACATTATATATCTACAAAAATACAATGGAACGAAAAAGATACTCTGTATATTCACACATGTCATTGTCACAAATATAATGGATGAACAAATGAGGATTTCAGGTAGAACTGAAATTTATTGAAAAAAGGTCCTCGAAAGCTGTGTCGGTGTATAGAGGAGGCTAGAGATCGATGTCCAAAAATTTATTGAAAAAAGGTCCTCGAAAGCTGTGTCGGTGTATAGAGGAGGCTAGAGATCGATGTCCAAAAATTAGAGTTGGAAGAATTTAGAATCATGTAAACGGATATGGAGAGCGTTCCACCAATGGACCATACGATGTTGAGAAAAATAAAAGATAAAATTGCGAACCGATAGCTTGGAGGGAACAATGGAGGTATGTAATTTTTAGTGCACTCTTAAATACTTTATTGTATCTTTTTTTAATTTCATTATACTTTTTAAAGTTTTTCGGTCAGTAACAACCTTATTTAATGTAACATTTTATCGTATTTTTTATGCACTTTATTTAACTCATGAAATTAAGTTTTTATTTTTTTTGAATTAAGTGTCAGTTTTTTTAATTTAATGTATTAGTTTATATACTGTTTTTGTTTAGGAACAATTACCTAGAATAATTCCAACTTTACTCAGTCTTTCAAAAACAATCTCTCCTTTCACAATCATGCAACAAAAATTCATCAAAAACAATCCTGACTTTCATTTTTTGCGTAAAACAGGGCGTTTCCGTTAACTCGCCGTTAGTAACTTAACAACGACCCAACACTTGAAAAATTTATTAAAGTTGAGATTATTATGCATGATAATGAAAGACATAATCATTTTTTAAAAACGAGATAAAATTTGGAATATTTTAGATGTTTTTTTTCTTTTTTGGGAGTATTTAAATTAAAATAGTAGTATGAGGATGCATTGTTCGGAATGAGGATGACGATAGGTAGTGGTCTAATTGGATCGGATTGATTCATCATTCAGGTTTTGTTGGAGGGTCCAATAAGTAGGACTTCCCGATCGGTACGGTCCTCTAGCCTCTTCCTAGCAGAGGAGCATTCGAGCAGTTTCCATCGCTGCTGTAACTGTAAATTTCTACCGACTGTAAACTTTTTTACATTCCCATTCATTCTGTACGAGCACAAAAAACACGACGCTCGAAAAGCGCAAATTCTTCATTTTGTCTTCTACGCTTCCTCCACCGCCATCGTAATCCAGGAATAGTGGCAATCTGTTCTCCACCGGTATCCGCGCCTCCAAGTCATCTGGACACACGATCTTTTGAACTGTTCTGCCAAACCGCCGGAATAATCTACTTTTCCGATGGAAACCCACGGTATGTATACGATTTTCTCGTTTTCCTCTTCAATCGGCTGTTCGGATTACTCTTAGGTGCTGCTAGAGTGTTACTTTAGTTCACCTGCTAGTGTTCATCGGTTGTTTTATATCACCTCCGTCCCATTTTGATTTCTGTTTTTAAATTTTCAAGGAGTTTATGAAAAAAGTTGAAAAGTGAAAAAATGCGTGGTTGGGATTTGTTAGAAATTGAGAGAAAGTTTTGAGCCATGAGCGGTATGTACTTTTCCTTCAAATGAAATGGAGTTTTTTTAGCACAGATGAAAAGGAAAGAGTGAAGATTTTCGCTGGACCGAGGGAAGAGTTTTGATTTCAATATCAATATGTTTTGTTGATTTCTTGATCACTCGATAACTGTGTGAAGAGTTATTTTTGGATTTCAGCCTCTTTGTTTTATTCAGGTTTCTCGGGCTGATTCTCAAACGTCTAGTTGTGCTAAGCTTATCAATATTGTTCAACATGGTCTAGTACTCCCCGTTCTAATTTTTTTTATTAATGTTAGTAATTCAAACTGTGCCGTAATAGATGATTTGAAAGTGGGAGAAGATAAATGAGCGGCACAAACATTTTCTCAAAGGGAACTGTGACGTAAATTTTGGGTTAATTTAAAAAGGAAAGTGAGAAGAGAATTTTAGGACAGGAGTATCTCCTTAAGAGCATTGAGTATGACTCATAATTCAGGTAAAAATTGAAATTAGGATTTCAAGTGGCAAGTACCGTATGAGAGAGCAGGGCAAAGTTGTTTTGTAGTATTGGTTGATGTAGCCAACTAGAGATAGTGCTTATTTCTTTAATCAGGTGCAACTTCTGATATGGCTATACCATTAGTGGATGCCAGTGGCGGATCCATGAATTGAATTACATGGGGGAATCATTGATTGGGGGTCCGGGGGGCAGCGTCCCTGATTTTTTTTTAAATAAGTTATATGAAATGACAAAGAAGTAAAAAATATACTTTACCAAAAAAATAACAAAAATTTTAAATTTAGCTTAATTAGGTAGGGTCACATTAATTTTTGTTGGGGGCATATATACATAAAATTTAAAAAAAATAATTTTTTTTTACATTCTTGCAGAAAATTAATAGGGGGCATATGCCCCCAATTCCATTAGAGTGCATCCACCACTGGTGGATGCTCTTATAGGTGTATTGTCGGAGAAGCCAGGAATCTTGATTATAGCTGATGTTCCATGAATTTTTTTATTAGAGATCACTTTCTAAAACTGAAATACATGTATATCCTCATAATGGACTCCTGAGAGTTGCAAACTTTACTAGCCTTTTCATGTTTTAAACTTTTTTGCAATTGGATTTTGGAATGTTAGTATTGCTAAATGTGATTTTAGCTGTTTTTCAAATTTCAAGGTAATTCTCAAGAGGTTATGGTGCCGCCCGTTGAAGGCATTGCGGGAGGTGGCACTGCATATGGATGGACAGATTGCGAAGTTTATGATCCAACACCATTAAGGGGTGTAATTGATCCTACTAGAGTTCCTACTTCAGAATTGGTGCATGTTTGGTGTATGCCAAGTACAGCTAATGTCGGGCCACAGGATTTGCCTCAACACTTGGAGCCTGTATGTGATTCATTTACCTCCTTTGTAATGTTTGTTGAAGAGTTCAAAAATACCATGCTGGACTTTTAAGAAGATTAAGCATATTTTTGTCAGTTATAGCTTTCCAAGTTGTTACTATTGCACCCTTCCCATCATTTGACCAACATTTCTCCTCTTCTCTCGACCGGACCCATAGGTCCATACTGAATATATTCAGGTCTGGTCCTTGGTCCACGTACTTTGAGATTTCGGTCCTTGGTCGGGTCTGGTTTAAGACCGATTTTTTTTAGGTCCAGACGACAAGACCGAATGGACCTAAATGAATTATTACTCTTTTAATGATAAAAATAGGAACTCCAAAAAAATATCTATAATTAAATAAGTTAACTGTGAATCTACTTTTGGTTTAAATAACTATGTGTTGATAGATTTTGATTAAAATAACTAATAAGTAGGTATTTTGCTAATATTATTACTACGTATTTTTGTATATGACTTCTGTATAGTCTTGTTTAGGTTAGTACATATGGTGATAGATTATAAACATTAGGTGCTTTATAATATTAAAAATAAAGTTTCCACTTAAATTTGTAATGCGTAATAGGTCTTTTAGGTCTGGTCTGGAATGATTTCATAGGTCCAATCCAGTCCAGGACCGAACTATTTTAGGTCTGGTCTTTGGTCCGGGAATTTCGAATTGAGGTTTTAGGTCTGGGCTTGGACCGATGAACAGCCCTACTTTATTTTATCGCTCTAGAAAAGCTACAACAATGGGTTTCACTTTATACTGATCTGGTGCCCAGTGTTATTATTCTAACAAAAGACTGAAGTTCAATTTATATTTAGGGTTGTCACAATTTCATGGTTTATAATGTTGAATGTCATATTGAAGATATCTCTTCTAGCGGCGAGAAATGAAAGAGAAAGTGTCCAGGTTGCTTTACATCCAAAAGTTTCGTGGGGTGGATCTGGCATTGCAGGAACTGTACAGGTTCAATGCACAGACTTGTGCTCATCTACTGGTGATAGGTTTGTCTCTGCTTTCAGCCAATTAAGATATTTAGGAATTAAATTTCAGTGATTTGCTAAAAATGGCTAATTATAGGTTGGTAGTTGGAGAGTCGTTGACATCACGAAGAGTAGTACCTGTTTTGGGTGTTCCCGATGCTCTTGTACCACTTGATATGCCAGTTTCAAAATTAAACCTATTTCCTGGGTAATGATAACATCATATTCAGCTTGCTGTGGTGCATGTGAAATTCAGTATTTAACATAACCCTCAAAATTCTCCAGAGAAACTGCAGTGGTCTGGATTTCTATTGATGTTCCAAGTGCGCAGCCACCGGGGCAATATGAAGGGGAAATCATCATTTCTGCTACCAAGACTAGTGCAGAGTAATATTCTATGTTCTTTACTACAGTTATATACTCCTTCCGTCCCCTAATCAAGGGGCCATTTGGAGAGTTTTGGAGAAATGATATTAAATGGGTTTTCAAATCGGAAAGAAATGATATGAATTTTGAAATCTGAAATGCGCTTGTTTGGAGAGATCTAAAATGGAATGAAGTATCAATATTTACTGTATGCTGAAAAAAATTGAAAGAGAAGGAGATGAAGAATTGAAGATAACTAAATTGAAAAAAAGGAAAACACACAAAAGAGGAACCAACGGAAGAAGGCTACCAAAAGTAGCTGATTTCGAAACTCCATATCCGTGGAATTGTGCTGATTTCAAGGCACAACTTATTTGGAGAATTCCCATATCTCCATGTTTGCAAGCCCAAGCCCTTTTTTGCTCAGCAAACACAAATTTTAGAACTTTGATATAGGATATATTAAAACCCTTATTTTTTGCTCACCAAACGGACCCTAAGTTTAAGGTTTTATTTCATGTAGTTTAAGAATGTGTTCAAAGTAAAAATTGTGATTGGAATTTGTTTAGAAGAGAGAGTTGTTAAGATGCACATATTCCATTTTTGAAATATAAGTTGGGAATAGAGGGAGTATAAGTTTTGGTTATTTGGTCCGAATTGTTATTAATAGCTTCAAGGAACTTTTTACCATCATAGTTGATTGTTAGGTTTCATTTATTGTCTTTCTTTTCTTGTTAATGCAGATCCAATGCACAATCCCTCAGTAAAACAGAGAAGTACCAACTTTACTCGGAACTTAGAAACTGCCTTGATATTGTAGACCCCATAGAGGGAAAACCAGTGAATGAAGTGGTGGGTGTCTTTGAATTATGAAACTGCTCATAACTTTCACCAGAACGTTTGTCAACGCGAGCAACGTCTCATATCAAACTTTGTTTATGCTTTAGGTAGAAAGAGTGAAATCTGCAACTTCATCTTTAAGAAGCATTCTTCTGTCCCCATCATTTTCTGATTTGTTTTCAGACAATGGGTCCGTAGACAGGATGGATGAGGATGTAGCATCTAACCTTGCTATTCGGTTGAAAATAAGTTTGACAGTGTGGGACTTTATTCTACCAGTTACACCTTCAATCCCTGCTGTTATTGGTGTATCCTCATGTCATTGTGGTTATTAATGACTTTAAAAGAATCTGGAGTTATTTGTTATCTCCCATTCCACTCTATTTTTCAATGTTTCTCATTGTTTCCAAATTCAAAATGCTGTGCCTATTTAAGTTGGGTTTGATTTTCCTCCTTGAGAGCAAGATGTTTGATAATTTCCTTGATAAATCCTAGATATCTGACACTGTATTTGAAGATCGATTTGGTGTTGAACATGGAAGTAATGAATGGTATGAGATTCTAGATCAGCATTTCAAGTGGCTACTGCAATATAGAATTAGTCCATATTTCTGTAGATGGGGTGACAGTATGAGAGTTTTAACGTACACCTGCCCATGGAAAGGTAATAGGGATAAGATAAGAGTATAAGACAGCTTATGTTTAAAAGTAATTTGTTACAGATGCCATGTCCTAAAAGCCTTCTTTTCTGTGTGTGTGTGACTCTCATTTAAACATGGATGATCGTGAATAGACTACTGATATTATAATATGTCTTTATTGTGTGGTTATGTAGCTGATCATCCAAAATCTGATGAATATTTCTCTGATCCTCGACTTGCTGCCTATGCTGTACCACACAGCCCAGTAGTCAGATGGTATGAAGGCCTTATCTTTCCCAATTCTGGAAACTTTTTTTCCCGTCTCTGGAGGTATACATGGTCATGCTTCTGCCTGTTTTGTGTGCAGTGAAGATACTGCAAAAGACTACCTACAAAGAGAAGTTGAGATACTGAGAACAAAATCTCATTGGAGAAAAGCCTACTTCTACTTGTGGGACGAGGTAAGATTAGTTTATGCAAAGTTTGAGCTCAGAAAGATTAGTTGATTCTCGGGATGTTTAGTCTGCGGTTCAATACACAACTGCACAAGAATTCCTGTAAATGGATGATTTTCTTCAGAGGTTTATCATAAATGAAATATTTTAAGATCTCATAAAATGTTCTTAAGAGGCTTATGTAAGTATAATGATTTTACTAAGTACTTTTAACTTGGTCTTTATGATAATCGTCTTTCCTCGTTGTCACTACGAGGAACCTCTTTCAGTTTTATATTTCAACAGCCTGAATCTATATGTCAAAATAGAAATATAGTACTGCAGTTTGATGGAATTTCCTCTAGAACTCTTAAAGTGTCATAGAATTTGGGTAGACAATAGTCTGCTTCATTTTTATGTTTATGAGATCCTTTTGTTTAAAATTATTTTGTTTCAGTAATGTGAGGATTATAGTTCCTCATTATATGCGTGCGGCTCCTAAGAATGATGTTGCTTGCTGCCAGCCTCTCAATCTTGAACACTATGATGCTGTCCGAAGAATGGCCAGAGAGATTCATGCCTACGCACCAGACTCTCGTGTTTTGACCACGTACTATTGTGGTGTGTATTTGCTTTATATATTTAGTAATGTAATCATCATCATCATCATGGGGAATGAAATGCACAAGGAGTTTTTTGGCGTCTCTGTTTGACAGTCATTTTCAAATGTGAAATGCAGGTTCCCCTTTTTTGGATCTTTTTCCTCTTCATTGAAATTACTGTTGTGTATAAGCAAATTGGGAAATTGGAACACAAAAATAATCGGTGAAAATTAGTCTAAGAATGAGAAACTGCACACCTGCTGATTTTCTTTAGCTTAACATATTGAACCATCAATCAAGATGGGTATCAAGTTTTGGTTATTTATTACAGAGTACATCACTCCAAATGAAAAAGTTGTTATTTTGCTAGCACACCTATTATTTTGCCTTAAGAATGCTGACATTAATTTGGTAATCTGGAATGAATTGGTAATATGCCATTAGATATTTATCTGTGTTCCCGTATTGAACTTAAACAGTGCTCAAGGACTGTCTTCCAACTGATATATTTATTATGCAGGCCCTAATGATGCACCTCTTGCTTCTAATAATTTTGATGCTTTCCTGAAAGTTCCTGAGTTCCTACGGCCCCATACACAGATATACTGTACAAGGTACTTATCAATTTGTCATGTTTTTGATTTCTTAACCACATACATGCGGATCACATCCCTCTCTTTTTCAGTTTCCTCTTTAAATTAAACTAGAATTGTATTGCTAAGAAAATGCATTGTTGGAACATGATTAGCTGTGTTATGGGTAACAGAAATTTAGTTCTTTATTTCAATGCTGACTTCCTGTTTTGCTTTTCTTTCTAGTGAATGGGTAATTGGTAACAGAGAGGACCTCGCGAAGGATATCATTGCAGAAATAAGACCAGAAATTGGTGAGGTAATATATAGCACATGGAAGCCATCGGATGACTATAATAACTGATTTCTGTTATTTTTTGTGGCAATCTAGGGTCATAATCCAAGTTGTACATGTTTCTTTTACAATGCAGATCTTCAAAATCAATATGATGGTCAATTGTTCCATATGAAATCCATTCTCTAAATTTTAAAACAAACATATTCAAAAGTATTTCAATTTTAGATTCGATAGAAACCAGATCATCAGAAATGAGTAGAAGACTAATATTGGAGTTAAATGTGCTTCTTTGAAACTCCTATAATTTCATGTTAGAATGTTTATTCTTTTTACAGGAATGGTGGACATATGTATGTTTGGGGCCCACTGATCCTCATCCCAACTGGCACTTGGGAATGCGAGGTACACAACACAGAGCAGTGATGTGGCGTGTATGGAAAGAAGGTGGAACAGGTTTCTTGTATTGGGGTGCCAATTGCTACGAGAAGGCAACAGTTCCTAGTGCTGAGGTTCATGGATTTGGACTTATTTGCTTTATTATTTGTTCTTTTATTCATTCCGCATGTGTGCATGTCACCCAATTTATTTTCAGATTTGGACCAATTTGGCTCATTATTCTCTTATTTATTCCACGTGCATGTGGCATGCATGTCACACAATTTAGGTAGAACTACTTAACTAGGGCTAAAACATGCTCTTTCTACCAAAATAGGACTTTCAACATTTTAAAACCAAAATAGGATCTATAATGCCTATAATGCCATAGTGCATCAATATATAATGTCAAAAACACAGACATTCCAACATAAATTGTCAAATTGTGGCATTGCACACTCCCAATGCTCCTATTTAGGGGATACAAACATAGGAAGTCCTATTTTTGTATAACTTTAATGTGTCTTATTTAGGTAGATTTCTTCTCGATGTTGTTCTTTTGTTCAGATTAAATTCAGGCGCGGTCTGCCTCCTGGGGACGGAGTATTGTTTTACCCTGGCCAGGTGTTCTCTTCTTCCAAGCAACCTGTTGCTTCATTAAGACTAGAACGGCTTCTCAGTGGTTTACAGGTAACCTTTAATTTCAGCCATTTGTAACTCTCACTTTTGCGGTAACATGCTACAACTAGGGGAATTTGATGAGGTAATCTCACATTGAGTTGCTAATCGAAGAAAGGTGATGTGAAATTACCTTGTAAAATTAGCTTTGCAATATGTCCGAGCACTCTGTATGATCTTACAACTCTATGAACCAAACGAACCAAAAAAATAACTTGCGAGAAGTCTGTCTTGACTCTTGAACTCTCCACTCTTGTGTTTGTTGGCATTAGGACATTGAATACTTGAAACTCTACACATCAAGATATGGTAGGGAGGAAGCACTCAACCTGCTGGAAAGGACAGGAACTTACTTTGGTCCCGAGCGTTACACACTGGAACACACACCCATAGACGTCATGCGGGGAGAGATTTTCAGGACATGCCGGTGATAAAGTTGGTCTCTGTTTGGTTATGATGAATGTGTTTTTTTTTGTGTGAACTCTGGCAAAGATAGGCGCTAAACCGTTTGAGGTAAAGAAATACTTGTGCTGTTATGTTATGCATTCACTATACGGCTGTGTCGGATTGTACAATTTTATGGACTTTCCTATATGTTTGCATGAACATTTATATAATGTTATGATAAGTTTTATTTAAGGAGTATATTTTATCAATATGCTTAGAGAATGTTCATTTAGGTGGTCGAAATCTATAATTTTGATAAAAGCTTGTGATAAAAGCACTTCATGAACAAAAAGTTTGTATTCATGAACAATCTTGATAAGTGACCATGTTTAATTATGTAACCCAGTTCTTTTTCTTTCTTTTTTTAGAATTTATTGATTGACTTATTGAGAATTTAGTGTATTTTGAAAAAGATTGTTCCACTAAAGTTTTCTCTACTCTTGACTGGTATAGAAATGAAATGTTGATGTTGGATTGTTTTTAATTGCTGTTCTAATAAATGATTTTTATATTATTATTATCTTCTTGCATTGTTTACAGGGTAACAATATCACTCGGAACGAACTGTGTAGGTTAGGGTGTGGGTTCATGGGTATGGTCGTAGGTTTTATGAGGTAATTGGGTAAGAGAAAGAAGAGAGAATATAAAATATAGAAAGAAAAAAAACGTATATATGAAGTAAGGGGTAAATTTCAATAATGGTACCTGAATTTTTATTGAAATTTCGAAGTGGTACTTAAAACCACTTTGGTCATGCTAATTTATAATGTACCAAAAAATATTACTCTCTCGTCCTATATTGATCTTTCCATTTTGACTAAATGTCATTTTTAAGGAATTTGAATTTTTTCACTTTAATTTTCAATTATACCCTTATAAAACTTTAATAAAAATAGTAAGGTATGCCTGGAATCCACGAGACCTTGCCAACTCCTGTGCCGGTGGCATTGGAGTGGGCTGCTCATCTCAACATCAGGTAGTGGGTTTGTGTCTTGCTCCTCCTCAACGACTTGGTTGTTATTCAATTCATTCTCAAAGCCTTGTATGGGCTCATCTTCCAACTCACTTTTCTAATATTCACTGTTAGCGATGATCCAGACGGAGTTTGGAAGAGGAGTGGAGTAAGATCCAGCGTCATCTGACTCACTCTCTCCGCTCTCTCCGTGTCCTCAAAGCTTGAATCTTTAGTGTTTATCCCTTGGAATTAAAGGATTTGAAACTTAGTCTCAGAGATTTGAGATTCATATGAAGGTGGACTGATGTCGCTTAGATATAAAATTTTATGAAAGATGGAATTCACTGAGACACAGATAGAGGGCGAGGACACTTTGAGATAAGGTGAAAATGAAGATATAATTAAGGCCACTATGATTAAGAATGATCATGTTCAATAAGTAGTTCTTGCACATATTTAGAAAATAAAAATTTGTTTCATATAGGACTAAAAGGTAAAACGTTTCCTTGAATATGATCAAGTATATTTTAGTCGCTTTGTGGCACATAATTTCATATGATCTATCATATATGCCCTCATTAGCAACAAATATTGGATGATAATTGATTGTGCGAATGACTCTGCGAATATAGTCGTTATCAATATGTGTTGGATAATAACTTATTATTTCAATGATTATTCAGATTGTTTTTAATAATGTCTTACTTTACTTAAATTGTGTAATTAGTCATTTTTCTCAAAAGGCATTACATTTTAGAACTTTTCACGTAAATTTCCCAAAAGAAAATTCTTGCACTTATTAAGAATAGATCTTAGTTCTATAAACTAGATTAAGAATTTAAGATTATAGTCTGCTCATTAAAAAAGAAATTATATTCCATTCGTCCAAATATTTGTCATATTTCTTTTTTCAATCATCGCAGAAACTTTTGTTTATCTGTACGTTTTCATAAATTATTTAATATAATAATATATTCTAAACACATCTTATCTCAAAAAAAAATTTATGTAACTTTTAAATACGGAGTATGTAAATTTTTATTTTTATATGAATATTTATATAAGATGAATGGAAAAATTTAATATGTTGTCCCCTTTTTTTCAATCTGGTAAACAATTATGGGATGAAGGAAGTTTCGTTTGGGTTTTGGAGTGGAAGACCCTTGAGATTGACATTCAAATGATTCAACCTTTTCCATTTGACTGATCATGTGGTGATTTTCCCCAACAAAAAACACACAAAAGAAGAGAAAAAAAAAATTCAGTTTTCCAGCCACTCTCTGATGAATCTTTTTGTCCTGTTCTGTCACCTCACAGTCCACCCTTTCTCTGCTCTTCTCCCTTTGCCTTTTGTCTTATATCCCCAACAACCCAGAAAAAAAAACAGAGTAATATGGAAGAAATCAGAAACTCATCTTCAATGGCGAAGCAGGATCAAGAACAGGAACTCAACTCGACATTTCTTGGGAAAAAAAGTTTTTTTCTTAAAAAAAATTGCTTCTTTTTTCTTTTCAATGTTCTGTTCGATCTTATTTTGCAGATCCAGATGCGGAAGTGATAGCTTTATCGCCGGAATCAATAATGGCGAAGCAAGATTCGCGTGCGAGATATGCAAGAAAGGGTTCCCGAGGGAGCAGAACCTGCAGCTTCACCGGCGGAGCCACAACTTGCCGTGGAAACTGAAACAGAGTGCCGCCGGAAAACCCAAGAGGCGGCGCCTGTACATCTGCCCGGAGACGACCTGCGCCCGCCACCACCCTTCCAGAGCCCTCGGCGACCTCACCGGAATCAAGAAGCACTTCCACCGGAAGCACGGCGAGAAGGTTTTCCGGTGTGAGCGGTGCGGCAAGAAATACGCCACCGACTGTGACTGGAAAGCCCATTCCAAGACTTGCGGTACCAGAGAGTATCATTGTCTTTGTGGAACCTTATTTTCCAGGTATTAATATTAGTCCATTTCGAAGTACTTCTGTGCCCTTGTATTTGTCCACTTTCATTTTTACACACCATCTAATGCACTCCTTTAATCCATTTTATCTTGTAATTTGTATATTAAAAAATTATAAAAATTATATATTAATAATCTATATGTTAAGACAAATCAAACAAGATCACACATGACTATATTTAGACTTACATATTGAGAGAATTTGATGAGTCAAAGCGCTAAGATGAACAGTTCTAAAAGTCAAATGTGGACAAATACTAGGGGACGGAGGGAATATTTTATTATTAAAAATAATATTTTTTATTATTATTATTGCTATAATGTGGGGTGCAGAAAGGACAGCTTGAATATGCACAGAGCATATTGCGATGCAATAGCGGATGAGATGGGTAACAAAGGGGCTGCACCGCCGTCCACGGCGGAGTCATCTTCTAGTCTGCCGGCGTCCACCGGAGTTCTGTCGCCGGGTCTTTCCTTTCACAGTGCAGGTATATATGGAAGGGGAGAGTTCAATTTTAAAGCTGGTTAAATCATGTAATAATCGAATCTTGGCCTGAAAAACTTTTTCGACATGTTGGGAACAGATATGGGAGGGAATCAAAGTGGTGGGCGGAAAAGGCAAAAGGGCACTGTGGAATCTTTTTCTTCTTCTTCTTCTTCTTCTTCGTCTCAGCTGTTTCCGTGGCCGGGTCCGTTCCGGGAAGATCTGTCCTGCTACGGCGGTTGTCCCCGGCCGGCGGCGTGTCTATCTGCGACCTCGTTGCTCCAGAAGGCGGCCCAATTTGGGCCGTCGTCTCCGCCTTGTTCGTTCGTCGCGGGGTCCACCTTGACTTCACTGCTGCCGTCGCCGTCATTGTCCTCCGGGCCCGGCCTCGGACTCGAACACTTCCGTTGTGACGACGAATCGGATTTGCCGGTCGCAGAAATGATCTTCGCCGCCAATCCACCGCCTCTTGATTTTCTTTAGCAATTTCTTGGGTGTGACGAGTTTTTTGTTCATCCGGGGCCTTACTATACCAAGGGGGCGTTTGGTTCATGCTGAGGAAAGGGAAAGGAAACAGGAAAGGGAATTAGGGGAAAGGGGATGATTACCCCTGAATTACTCTGTCTGTTTGGTTCAGTGCAGGAAAGGGAATAGAATTCCCTTTGTTTGTGTTTGGTTCAAAACAGGAGAATCAAATTTTTTTACACAGCTATGATCAATTTGTTTAAAATAATACTTATTTATTTTATCAAAGATACAATTAAACAAAATTCACACATAACAACATACTTTTAAGATGATACGTTCATTTCAAAAAACATTACTCGTCTAAAACTTCAAAAACACAACAAAAAATCACAAATTTTTAGAGTCTACGAGATCTAGTTCTTGAAGTGTTGAACATGTTCTGAGCCAATGCATTTCGGAAATTAATCCATGGATCTGATGTATCAATTGAGGTTATGTACTCGACTTCATCATCACTATCTTCATCATCACTATCTCCATCATCATGTTCAAATATCTCTTCATCATCACCAGGTCGAGATGACATCTATCTTGTAATCAAGTTATGTAAAAAATACTTGTAAAAAATTTGTAAATGAATCTGTAAAAATACTTGTAAAAAATTATGTTACAAAAACACATAGAATGCAGAGAGTGGGGGGAATCGCAGGGGGG